ATCTCTACCGACAGTCATCTCGACACTTTGGTTACTGTAGAGATGACGACTGCGATCGACATCGATCTCTGTCTAAGGCCTCAAAATTATTTTTTTAGCAATATGGCTACTAGCATTTTTTCCAGGTAGCCAGTGGTAAAATCAAGAAGTCAAGCCAATATTGTAAGTAGCCAAAAGCATTTGAAATTATCTTTTATCAAATAACTATCATAATATGTACAAGTCATAGCACTAGTCTTGAAATTGTAGGGGCGGTCGGGTAGCCTAGTGGTTAAAGCGTTCGCTCGTCACGCCGAAGACCCGGGTTCGATTCCCGACATGGGTACAATGTGTGAAACCCATTTCTGGTGTCCCCCGCCGTGATATTGCTGGAATATTGCTAAAAGCGGCGTAAAACCAAACTCACTCACTCACTCACTTGAAATTGTATATTAGTGGAAACTGTACTTGATTTGTGTTATTTGTGACTCAAACAATGATGCAATTTATTCTACTAGATTATTTAGGTATATCCCTGCTTGTCCAATGAGCATTGCCAACTGAAATAAATAAATACTAATTACATTAATATTTCTGTTCATTGCCAACTTTAGGAGGACTTATATGGATGTACAATTATTAGCAGACATGTTTTCCACATTCAGCTGTTATTTATTTTTGTGTCTACAAATGTGAAGCAATAGAATTTAGTCCCAACAAGATATTTTCAAGCTAGTCATTTGGCTACCTCTGAATTTTAGACAGTAGACAAATTGAAAATTAGGTCGAATTGGCGACCATTTTAGTTGCAACTTTGAGGCCTGTCGCCGATACCAACCTATGACATACTATCCTCATCCGACAACTGATCGATACAGAGACCATCAATATTGGCCCTACCCTGAATATCCTTTGATGCCGGAGTATTATCAATACGCTGATTCTCCTCATCGACATAGAGAACATCTCATCTTTTGCCCCGAAGCTCACATCAGTTACATCTGTTGTAGATTATAAGGAGTTAGCTCATGTGGATCTTACTATTAGGTGGACCCTACCATTACTATCCACTATTCTGTCAGGCATAGAAGCGATAGGCATGTCAGTTCATCACGCTAAGACTTCAGACGAAGCTTATATCAGAGGGTCCGTCAACTTGATTCAGAGCAAGTTCCAGGATGTGATGGAGCTAATTACTCACCAGATGCCATGAGACGTCAGGGACTACTTTACTGCTGTCTGTGGGAAGAACACCACAAAGTTACACTCTATCAGATGCCTTGGTCATCTCCCCAACTTTTGACGACAGAATCCATGAGGTTGCACAAGAAGTTACAAGAAGAAACGCATCTCCAGGTTTCATTTGATCTCTTACCTTAGCAGGCCAAGCTCTCCAACACATGTCTCCTTCCATCCCCGGGACGACTGGGAACTTCTGCCCCCAGTCGTATCCGTTATCTTCACTCCTGTAGGCAGAAGACTAAGTGATTTTGCAGCCAACTGAACCATCCTGGAGGACCCCTTCGTGTCCTGGATCCTCACAGAGGGATACTGGCGGCCACTGATGGGAGTCCCGCCAACGACTACCAGTCCGATCCAGAGGGCATACCCGTCCATTTTCGTATGACGTCCGTCGCACTTCTTCGCCCCATCATTCCACAAGGGGACTACATGGTCAGCCTGGATCTACTCCATCAGCTTGGCAGGCTAATCAACATAGAAAAGTTGGAAACAACACCCACTCGACAACTGCAGCTCATCGGAGCACTTTTCGACACCGATCTCAGGAAGATGTTCGTCCGTCGTGACAGATGGACAAAGATACAACGGCACTCGGCACTCAGCACTCACACAGTCACTACATCTACGAATATGGCAGCAGTTGCTCGGTCTATGGATGTCGGCACAAGCCCTCACCCAGAGAGGTTGACTCCAACTACGGCCAATTCAGCGCTTCCTAACACCGTATCTTCAGATCAACAATCGTCGGGCCCCGATTCAGCTCCCATTGCACCTGTACGGCCATCTACAATGGTGGTTATCCAAAACAAACATCTGCTCAGGAGTTTCCCTGGAACCCTTTCTACCAACACCACTTGTTCGTGGATGCGTCGACAGTAGGGAGGGGAGCACACCTGCAGTATCAACAGACTTCAGGACGTTGGTCAGCAATAGAATCTACCCTTCATATCAACAATCTCGAATTCAAGACTGTCATTCTAGCAATCTCTCATTGGGCAGAAGTACTTTGATTATCTCACCTGATGACACAGTCCAACAACGCCTCAGTCGTATGGTATATCTACAAGATGGGGTCGACCCAGTAGGCTTCCCTGTTGGCTCTGACGATGGACTTTTATCGACTGATCGATGCATTGGGCATCAACGCCGAGCTCTACACATTTTGGGAATAAGGGATGTCATAGCAGACTTCCTGTCTCATCTGAATCGAACATCCTCCACAGAATGGCTCTACATCCAAAAACCTTTGAGGGGATTTGCGACCTTTACCACTCAACGCCTATGAGTTTCCACCAACAACGCTTCTACCACGGGTAATCCATAAAATCTCATCAACAAAACAGTTACAACTGACTTTTATTGCGCCTTACTGGCCAGCTGGCAGCTGGTTCACCGTGTTGGTAGACCTTGCAAGAGGAAACTGTTATTCACTTCATATCGCTGTGTCCTAGTAGCATGAAGGGGTTTTCAAGATCACTCAATAGCAGTGATTCACCCATAGAAAACAAAAGTGTGTGTGACAGCCCCAGGATTGATGCATGTCAGCACCAGCTTCCTCGTGTACATCTCATGGTTACAGACGAATACAGACTAGGGTAATCTGCGACCCACCGTCCAACCGTGGGATAAATGCTTAGATGGTATAAGTTTTAAAATTTGTACATTTTACAATAAAATGTATATTTATAATACTTATCCTATCTCACACGATCTATGCCCGCACATCCGACCCTGCATCACAGTTACGCTAGTGTGTCAGCTCCAAGAAAGAATGATGAGGCAGTCAGTGGACCAGATCGAGGACAGCTTGCTGCACGAGATCCTGGTGCATAACCTAGATACTGGTGTGGTCGTCATGGTGATGCATGGGTGGCAGGGCAAATGAAGCTTAGAAGGTGGAAACTTTGATCAAAGACGTTTCCACACAAGGGATCGAAAGAAGGAGGAATGCATAGAGTGAGATAGAATAAGTATTATAAATATACAATTTATTGTAAAATTTACAATTTTGACCTAAACCATTTCAAAGCAGGGCCCCGTCATTGGGAAGGTATGTAGCACATTTACGATTCATGCATTAATACTTTTTGACAAAGTGTAACCACAAGCTTTTGAATGAGATTTTTTTGTTTCAGTAACTTGGCCTTTGACTTTCTCACTGCAAAAGAAGTCCACATGGAATAATGGCCATTGGAGGAAACTGACAATGATATAACTTTGTTTTCCAAAAAAACTTTGACTGATCTTGACCAAAGACTTTTCAAAAGCAGGCCTAATCCTCGAAAATGTATATACCATGTTAGACTATGTTTAATGTTAATTGCGTCAATACTTTCTGAGAAAGTGTAAGCACAGTTGTTTTTGTGAGCTTTTCTCGAGACCTTGACATTTGACCTTTTCATAAGATGTGCCAAGATAATTCCCCAGGGCCATTTCAAAGAAATCCATGGAAGAGTACCCTTTGATGTCAATAATCTTCGTGTAGTAGTCATTTGAAAATTCACTCAAAACAAAACTCAAACCAATCCTGTTTGACGGGACTGATAATTATCTTCAACCATATTCTTGATGTCATTAATAAAATAAAGGTGTCCTTTGTTAATGTTTCTGTCCACTTATCTCCCTCTCAAATAGTAAACTGTAGCTCATGTTTTAGAAAGAGAACCTTGAGCTTTCATAGCTTATGAGTACCTTCATGATGAAAATTTCTAAATAAAATCATTTTCTAAATACAATTAGTAAATCATAATAATTTTATAGTTCATTTTTGTAAATATTGCCCATATGCATCCTGAATAATAGTGATTTTATGTACTCGAATCAGACATGGATATGGAGGAACAGAAGCATATTTTATAAATTATTCTTTTGTTTTTGATTCAGGAAAGTTTTCTTTTATTGATGAAAGCACTTATTACTGCTAAAAATTAATCCAAAGAAAAGTTTATGCAATATCAGATTGCCCACCTGTTTCCACAGTGATGTGCTCAACAAAAGTGTGTGGTTTTATTTACTCAAAGATTAGGACTATTTTATGTCACCATATTTAAGGAGCTTAGTATGTACCTTTTCTGTTTGGGGTACGGGAGTGCATGATGTGAATATGTGATTTATTAACCCTTACACTTAGATAATAATTTGGTTGTTTCTGCATGTTATCATTGCTGAAGTAATTTTGAGAAAATTTGAGAAACATTGCAACTAACTTCAGTCCAAAACAAGCAACATGTGTTAAATGTGTTTTAAAATTTATTAAATTATTTCTTGTTACAATGTTACCTGCGATACACATATTTTTGCTTTGGGCTGGATTTAAAACCTTGAAAAAACTGTTTTTTATTACCTCACATGACTGAGAGTCAAGTGACCTTATGTCATGACCTGTACCGGTATGTCTGTATGACAATTGATTGCTGCAAATGCTGTACAAATGCATGATTGAATTGTAAGTGACAATTATCAATGAAAACATGCTATTTGACCTGTAAGTGATTACAAATATAAGTATCAATTGTCTATTTGTAGCGCATTAAACTTTTTCGTTATGAAATAAGATTTTCCAAATTCAAATCATGGTGAAAAAAGAGGTTCTTTGACACAAACTTCTTTACCAATCCATACCAATTCCCAACACTAGACATGCTAGAATTTGCAGTTCTAGTTTAGATGAGCTACAGATTGTTATGGCTCTTATTACATACAGTGAGTGCCAAGACAGGCTGTAAAAGGTCATTATGACTTTGTGTGTATACAGGAATTGTCATGTTTACTTTGTTTAGGGCACACTCAATACAGCAGCAGATATCCAGAAATGGCTGCCATCTATCAAGAAAGAAATAGAATTTTGTGTAAAGGTAATAAATAGTTGACCTGTGTTTCAGTAGAAAAACACAATATTTTGCTGAGATATTGAGACTAATGTCCATGAAAGGCCATAAGGAACTAAATGATGGGACAAAGAAATCCACCTGACCTCTACTCTGTTCAAGAATAATAGCTTGACTTATAACAAGATGTCTCTGATATTACATTCAACTAAGTTGATGATTCTCCCAATTATGATAAATTATGCCTTTCATTTGCTTCTTTCATTAAAGTTTCAATGGGAATTTATGTTTTATCTGAACCAAACACAGGAGTCATGTGAACTCTTTCAGTAATTCTGTCACACCTCTCTGATTTTACACCAGAAACTGTGTCATCTTATTTATAATTAGACGTGTGGTGATTTCAGACTAGAACATGTATGCTACCTATGCTTGTCCTAAGAGGCAACTAAATGGATTAGGTCTTCAGACTCGGGTACTTGATTGATTGTGTGTCACCATACCTAAATTTGAAAGACATAGTTCATAATATCAATCTTTGTTTTTACTTGCCCAGACCTGATTTTTTACAGGCTGCTGTTTGTAAATAAACTGTGAGTATGAATGGTATAATTTCAGCAAAGTATGGTAACATGCTACCCAGAGGGAACTGTGCAGGAGTTCTTAAGTCGTGTGGATAAACTCAAGGGTGAATATAGAGCTTTTATCCGACGTCTTCGGGAGGTAAACCCAAATCTACAAGCCACTCCATGGACTGACCGCCCATATGCTGGCCAGAAGAGAGGTGCAGTCCGACTGTCTGATGGTATGTGATCACAATCAGGGGAGATAATCAGGGGAACACATCAGCTTTGCTCGCATGACTATCAGGGGAGATAATCAGGGAAACACATCAGCTTGCTAGCATGAGGGTCATCACAATCAGGGCAGATAATCAGGGAAACACTGCAGCATGCTGGCAGGTCATCGCAATCGAGGGATATATACTACCCATCAAAAGTTAAGACTCACCAGTGTAAATGTAGCCACTCACTATACTCAACTGTTTCACACCAGATAATGCCAAATATTCTAAACTTTTTACAGGTACTGTTAACACATGAACTGTTGTGGCGTAAAACCAAATCTGTAACGGTGAAAAAATTAGAGTTTTGCGTTCATTAATTGATAAAGCTCAGTGAAATGTCGCACATTTTAAACAAAATTCGCACCACAACGCAGGTGTTCACATGCACGATAATGCACGTGTTTTTGCAGCAATTTGACGCTGGTTACTCATGCAATTCATCTTTATAAGGATTGCAGTTGGCTCCTCTGAGTTAGTGGAGAAATTCTTCTTTGATGCAAGCATGGGTAGAGGGAGAAGTCTCCGTTTTGAGCAACGACATCAAGCCTTGGCACTGCTACAAGATGGCAGATTACAACGGTATGTTGCAAGACGTCTTGGCGTATCCCAATAGGCAGTTTCCAACCTCTGGGTACGCTTTCAACAGACCAACTTTGTCCAGGATCGACCCAGGTCGGGTAGGCCCAGGGTAGCATCACAGCAAGATGACCGATACTTCTGTTTGCTGTTTCTCAGGGGCAGACACATTACAGCCACAGCAGCCAATAATGCTTTCCAACAAGCTACAGGACGACGTGTATCTGCATCAACAATACGCCGCCGATTACGTCACTATGGACTGCGGGCACGTCGTTTAGCTGTAAGACCCCCTCTTACACCACGCCACCGTCAGAACAGACTGAATTGGGCAAATGGACATGTACGCTGGGGTCCCCGCAGATGGGCAAGGGTACTCTTCTCCGACGAATCAAGGTTCAATCTGCATTTCAACGATGGTCGGATCCCAGTGTACAGACGTCAGGGAGAGCGGTACGCTGACGTTGCTGTTGTGGAACATGATCAATTTCGAGGTGGATCCGTTATGGTCTGGGGAGGTATCACCATGACTGGAAGAACTGATTAACTGGTACAGGAAGGAAATCTGACTGGGCAGAGATACAGGGACGAGATCATCATTCCTACTGTGCTTCCATTCTTAAGGGCCATGCCAGGTCACGCGGTTTTCCAGGATGATAATGCCAGGCCTCACAGAGCTCGCATCGTGACAGCTTGTTTACAACAAAATGGGGTGAATCGAATGGATTAGCCAGCATTATCGCCAGATATGAACCCCATTGAGCATGTTTGGGATCTGCTGGGACGGCGTGTTTATGCCAGAGTTCCTCCCCCTGCTAACCTTCGCCATCTTCGCAATGCATTGTTAGAGGAGTGGCAAACAATCCCCAGCGGCAGATTGAACTGTTCATTCGTTGTATGCAACGTCGATGCAATGTCTGTGTTAGAGCCAGGGGTGGTCATACCCGTTATTAACTTTTGCAATTTCACTTTTGTATGGTTCTAGCCAATACGGTATTCTGGTTCACTAATCATCAATGCACACGTCCTTGTGAACATGGATATGAAGACCTAAATGAATGATTTTGTTATTTTTTATTGTTAGCTTTCACAAATACGATTTTCCTTCGAGATATAGTGAGTGGTTTCAGTGAGTCTAAACTTTTGATGGGTAGTATATTTAGGGAATACATCAATATACTGGCAGGTCATCGCAATCGAGGGATATATTTAGAGAATACATCAATATACTGGCAGGTCATCACAATCGAGGGATATATTTAGAGAATACATCAATATACTGGCAGGTCATCACAATCAAGGGATATATTTAGGGAATACATCAATATACTGGCAGGTCATCACAATCGAGGGATATATTTAGGGAATACATCAATATACTGGCAGGTCATCACAATCGAGGGATATATTTAAGGAATACATCAATATACTGGCAGGTCATCACAATCGAGGAATATATTTAGGGAATACATCAATATACTGGCAGGTCATCACAATCGAGGGATATTTAGGGAATACATCAATATACTGGCAGGTCATCACAATCAAGGGATATTTTTAGGGAATACATCAATATACTGGCAGGTCATCACAATCGAGGGATATATTTAGGGAATACATCAATATACTGGCAGGTTATCGCAATCAAGGGTGATAATTAGGGAACACATTAGAATACTGGCAGGTCATCACAATCAAGAGAGATAATCAGGGGAACAGCAGCATTATGGTAGGTCGTCACAATCAGAAACATGATGGTAGGTCATCACAATCAGAAACACAGCAACATGATGGTAGGTCGTCACAATCAGAAACACAGCAACATGATGGTAGGTCATCACAATCAGAAACACAGCAACATGAGGGTAGGTCTTCACAATCAGAAACACAGCAACATGATGGTAGGTCGTCACAATCAGAAACATGATGGTAGGTCGGCACAATCAGAAACACAGCAACATGATGGTAGGTCCTCACAATCATAAACACAGCAACATGATGGTAGGTCGTCACAATCAGAAACACAGCAACATGATGGTAGGTCGTCACAATCAGAAACATGATGGTAGGTCGGCACAATCAGAAACATGATGGTAGGTCGGCACAATCAGAAACACAGCAACATGATGGTAGGTCGTCACAATCAGAAACATGATGGTAGGTCGGCACAATCAGAAACATGATGGTAGGTCGGCACAATCAGAAACACAGCAACATGATGGTAGGTCGTCAAAATCAGAAACACAGCAACATGATGGTAGGTCGGCACAATCAGAAACACAGCAACATGATGGTAGGTTGCAAAATCAGAAACACAGCAACATGATGGTAGGTCGTTACAATCAGAAACACAGAAACATGATGGTAGGTCTTCACAATCAGAAACAGAGCAACATGATGGTAGGTCATCACAATCAGAAACAAAGAACCATGATGGTAGGTCGGCACAATCAGAAACATAGCAACATGATGGTAGGTCGTCACAATCAGAAACATGATGGTAGGTCGTCACAATCAGAAACACAGCAACATGATGGTAGGTCATCAAAATCAGAAACATAGCAACATGAGGGTAGGTCTTCACAATCAGAAACACAGCAACATGATGGTAGGTCCTCACAATCATAAACACAGCAACATGATGGTAGGTCGTCACAATCAGAAACACAGCAACATGATGGTAGGTCGGCACAATCAGAAACATGATGGTAGGTCGGCACAATCAGAAACATGATGGTAGGTCGGCACAATCAGAAACACAGCAACATGATGGTAGGTCGTCACAATCAGAAACATGATGGTAGGTCGGCACAATCAGAAACATGATGGTAGGTCGGCACAATCAGAAACACAGCAACATGATGGTAGGTCGTCAAAATCAGAAACACAGCAACATGATGGTAGGTCGGCACAATCAGAAACACAGCAACATGATGGTAGGTTGCAAAATCAGAAACACAGCAACATGATGGTAGGTCGTTACAATCAGAAACACAGAAACATGATGGTAGGTCTTCACAATCAGAAACAGAGCAACATGATGGTAGGTCATCACAATCAGAAACAAAGAACCATGATGGTAGGTCGGCACAATCAGAAACATAGCAACATGATGGTAGGTCGTCACAATCAGAAACATGATGGTAGGTCGTCACAATCAGAAACACAGCAACATGATGGTAGGTCATCAAAATCAGAAACATAGCAACATGATGGTAGGTCGTCACAATCAGAAACATGATGGAAGGTCGGCACAATCAGAAACACAGCAACATGATGGTAGGTCTTCACAATCAAAAACACAGCAACATGATGGTAGGTCGTCACAATCAGAAACATGATGGTAGGTCGGCACAATCAGAAACATGATGGTAGGTCGGCACAATCAGAAACACAGCAACATGATGGTAGGTTGTCAAAATCAGAAACACAGCAACATGATGGTAGGTCGGCACAATCAGAAACACGGCAACATGATGGTAGGTTGCAAAATCAGAAACACAGCAACATGATGGTAGGTCGTTACAATCAGAAACACAGAAACATGATGGTAGGTCTTCACAATCAGAAACAGAGCAACATGATGGTAGGTCATCACAATCAGAAACACAGCAACATGATGGTAGGTCGGCACAATCAGAAACATAGCAACATGATGGTAGGTCGTCACAATCAGAAACATGATGGTAGGTCGGCACAATCAGAAACACAGCAACATGATGGTAGGTCATCAAAATCAGAAACATAGCAACATGATGGTAGGTCGTCACAATCAGAAACATGATGGAAGGTCGGCACAATCAGAAACACAGCAACATGATGGTAGGTCTTCACAATCAAAAACACAGCAACATGATGGTAGGTCGTCACAACCAATAACATGATAGTAGGTGTTCACAATCAGAATTTGAGCAACATGATAGTAGGTCTTCACAATCAGAAACATAGCAACGTGATAGTAGGTCTTCACAATTAGAAACACAGCAACATGGTTGTAGGTCTTCACAATCAGAAACACAGCAACATGATGGTAGGTCATCACAATCAGAAACATAGCAACGTGATAGTAGGTCTTCACAATTAGAAACACAGCAACATGGTTGTAGGTCTTCACAATCAGAAACACAGCAACATGATGGTAGATATTCACAATCAGAAACACAGCAACATGATGGTAGGTCATCACAATCAGAAACACAGCAACATGATGGTAGGTCTTCACAATCAGAAACATAGCAACGTGATAGTAGGTCTTCACAATTAGAAACACAGCAACATGGTTGTAGGTCTTCACAATCAGAAACACAGCAACATGATGGTAGGTTGGCACAATCAGAAACACAGCAACATGATGGTAGGTCTTCACAATCAGAAACACAGCAACATGAGGGTAGGTCTTCACAATCAGAAACACAGCAACAGGATGGTAGGTCATCACAATCAGAAACACAGTAACATGATGGTAGGTCGTCACAACCAGAAACATGATGGTAGGTCTTCACAATCAGAATTTAAACAAGATAGTAGGTCTTCACAATCAGAAACATAGCAACATGATGGTAGGTCGGCACAATCAGAAACATGATGGTAGGTCGGCACAATCAGAAACACAGCAACATGATGGTAGGTCGTCACAATCAGAAACACAGCAACATGATGGTAGGTCGTCACAATCAGAAACATAGCAACATGATGGTAGGTCATCACAATCAGAAACATGATGGTAGGTCGGCACAATCAGAAACACAGCAACATGATGGTAGGTCGTCACAATCAGAAACACCTCAAAATGATGGTAGGTCGTCACAATCAGAAACACAGCAACATGATGGTAGGTCGTCACAATCAGAAACACCTCAAAATGATGGTAGGTCGTCACAATCAGAAACACCTCAAAATGATGGTAGGTTGGCACAATCAGAAACACAGCAACATGATGGTAGGTCGTCACAATCAGAAACACAGCAACATGATGGTAGGTCTTCACAATCAGAAACACAGCAACATGATGGTAGGTCGTCACAATCAGAAACACCTCAAAATGATGGTAGGTCGTCACAATCAGAAACACCTCAAAATGATGGTAGGTCGTCACAATCAGAAACACAGCAACATGATGGTAGGTCGTCACAATCAGAAACACCTCAAAATGATGGTAGGTCGTCACAATCAGAAACACCTCAAAATGATGGTAGGTCGTCACAATCAGAAACACAGCAACATGATGGTAGGTCGTCACAATCAGAAACACAGCAACATGATGGTAGGTCGGCACAATCAGAAACACAGCAACATGATGGTAGGTCGTCAAAATCAGAAACATAGCAACATGATGGTAGGTCGGCAAAATCAGAAACATGATGGTAGGTCTTTCATGAGGAATGCCATAGCTGTCCATGTACAGCTTAACTGATAAATGGACATTATTATCCCTGGCCACAATTTGGTGTCTTAGTTAAGTTGTAACAGAGTTATGGCCCTTTCTCTTTACTTTTCAACTTGGTGCATACTGCATGAAATGGCGACCTTACATGAATGGAAGTTTCCTTACTTATCTAAGAGATACTTATACTGTTACAGACCTTGATCCATGTTGTTTTACTTAGTTCATGGTGTCTGCAATGGGGACACGTTTTCTCAGAAACTACTGAAGATACATGAATGAAACTTTGCAAGATTACCTAAGAGAATCTATACTTATCAAGACTAAGTTTGAAAAATGGTGCCATTTTGTGTGTATTAATTTCAAATTTAATCAGATTTTCTCTTGACATAAAGCAAACCTAGTGTCTATCTCTTCATAGGCTTTTAAAGGACTCTTTTTTTTCATAGTTAACATTAACTTCCATATTATTCACTCTTCCATATTATATGAACAAAAACAATTCTAATGTTCCCCTATATTAGGGAAGGGGGCACTGGTGCCCCAGTCGTCTAAGGCATCGCAATTCACTGTACAGAGTTGTGTCCCTTGAGCATGCCAGAAAGCTATGATCATTGGGTCGAATCCCAGGTCACCCCGATTATGTTTCTAGGTTTGTCATTACCATACCCTTGCTCATGGGTTTCACCGAAGTGAAGTCTAAGACCTGCATCACTTTGAGCTTTCCTCCTACATTAAGCGGCCCATGAAGATCCGGGGTAGAAAAGGTATTCAGCAACCCATGCTTGCCGTAAAAGGCAACTATGCTTGTCGTAAGAGGTGACTAATGGGATTGGGTGGTCAGGCTGGCTGACTTTGTTGATGAATGTCATCGATCCCAATTGCGTGGATCGATGCTCATGATATGAATCACTGGATTGTCTGGTCCAGACTCAATTATTTACAGACTGCCGTCATATAGCTGAAATATTGCTGAATGCGGCGTAAAACAACAACCAACCAACCTAATTAAGCTGACTTGTCATGATATAACTGGAATACTGTTCAAAGCAGTGTTAAACCCAACTCACTCACTCACTCACTCACTCACTCACTCACTCACTCACTCACTCACTAAAGCACCCACTCCACACTCACCCACTCACTAACTCATGGCGGGAGAAAGTGATAATGTTGTTTACTTGTTTTAGAACATATTTCTCCAATGTAAGCTTCATTTGTGGCAATAATTTCAAATTTTACATTTGGGTTTAGGCCGTGTTTGGTATATATTTATTCTACAAGTAAACAAGCATATTAGTGTGATGTTTTGATGAGACAAATTTACAGGCATCCTCATTATGGTTCAAAAAGTTATTCTTATGAAAATCAGTATTTGAAAATTGTCTTGAGAAAAGATTCGAGAAAACTGCTTTCAATGAAATATCTTCCTCTGCAGTGATGCTTCAACAGCAAATTCAGGGTCTAACATAGATTTAATAACACTGGCAGACCATAATGCAGGGTCTCATGATGGAAGATACTGGAATAACGTGAACATGTTTCTGCATCATGTGTGGGGCGGTCGGGTAGCCTAGTGGTTAAAGCGTTCGCTCGTCACGCCGAAGACCCGGGTTCGATTCCCGACATGGGTACAATGTGTGAAACCCATTTCTGGTGTCCCCCTGCCGTGATATTGCTGGAATATTGCTAAAAGCGGTGTAAAACCATACTCACTCACTCACTCTGCATCATGTGTCTTGTCTACCTCATTGTTTAATGTCTGTAACAGAGTCATCTGATGGAGTGGCTGCTGATGCTGGTACTGCTAGTAAAAGGTCTGCCTTCCAGCCACTCACAACCCCTATCTTAGACAGTGACGACAGCTTCAGACAGGAGTATGGCCATGTGGAGAGTCCACAGATTATCTACAGCGTGAATACGGACCTACATGACCAACCACTTGTTTTTTGCAAGGCAGGTCAAAGATATGGAGGGAACGAGAATGGCTTGGTACAGTGTCCCCATGGAGGGGAAGGTGATGTGCGAACTTGTGAAACAGCTGATGCAACTTCCCAGGGCCAGCTGGGGCTGGAGGACTCTTGGCAGTGTAACCAGGCAAGACATGATGGTGAAGAGACCAAATGCAGTGTCCACAATTCAGTGGTTGCTACATGCAACAATGTCCAGGCAGCGAATGTCACACCAGGCAGCATTCCATCTCTCAATCTGCCCTATTCAGACAGTGAGGACAGCAGTGACTAGGCGTAAGCTGAAACTGAATACAAGAACCACCCGTATCAGTTCACTATATTCATAGCACATGATAACATCTTTTCCAGCAAGAGTTCATTCTGATTCATAGTCAAGTCCTATATTTGAACTATATCAAGGGCTTGCTCATAGTGAGATGGAGATTGTGACATCACTTCCTCAATGAAGATTTGGCGGTGTATGGGTCCAGGGAGTGTATATCAAAATGGATTCAAGATATATAAATACCCTGGATACTTGAGGATGGGGCCTAACATATTGGTTTTCTATGTACCAGGTAATTTGATTTTCAACCAGGAATAACCCTCTTGACCTTGGTCATGACAGCAGGTGTGTATGTATTCATGGCCTTTTTGAAACCATAGCAGCAGTTTTGTGGATACTTAGGAATGATGATCATGCCATTTGTGTACAAATGGTCTCTACCAGAGCAATGAGCCTATTAATTAAATAATCTCATTTGATTGACTGAATATGAAACGGGCAAATGTACAAGCATATGTGAGCAAAAGACATTACAGGCTCTGAAGGGACTTGAAATATGAGAATATCTGTTTTTCAGCAACTGCTTGATAAACAACTTCCTTAAAAAGACTAAAAAAACTGAAAATATCTTTGATCTTCTGCTGTCATGTTGTCTGTATTATAATCTATTAGCTTTTTCTACTGTTTTTCAAAAAACAGTGGATGGGTTTGTTGGAAAGGATTTGTTTCTGATGGCAAGGGGGCTCAAACTGTGGGATGGATGAGTTCAAGGGTGATGGATGACAAGTACACATCTACAAAAGGGAGGTAGTCCCCCGGGCATTTCCCTTTTCAATGTATAATGTATTAAACACATATTAATCAAACAGCAGAATATGAATTATTGGATAGACATTTCTTAAAAGTTGATGGATAACAAAGGTGACAAAAATGTTTTATGAAATGTACAATAAAGAAGTTGTTACTCCATAAAACATTTTTGTCTACTTCAGCAGAATTTGGTTTGAATGGATACTGGGCCTGTGATATTTTGCTTAAAGAGCACGGAGCCAGAAAAGAAAGATGGTACTGGGGTGTGGAAAATCTATGCCCAACTCGTGACGTAGGATCGCCAGACAAGCAGAAAAAAATCAGCTTCAGTTGTTCATGGACAACCTTAAAATTTAGGAGACCTTTAGTCAGTTTTGATATTCATAAAGTACTAAATACAGTTTTATAAAGAACATAACCATCGCGAGTATGTATTGATCTGATATCCATTGCACTTTAGGACAAGCACTCTGATTGGCTGATCAGTGTGCAATGTAACACAATAAGAATTCATGGCAGGACGCACTGGCTGCTTAAAACATGATTTACATTTAAATTGGGCCTAGAAATGAACAAATTCATTCTTTGTTGTTTGGAAATACATGTTATATTTTGTGATAAAACACCATTTGGGGCAATAAGTAGACTTAATGCCCTGAAAGTGACTAGTATCAGTTGTTGGACTACCTATTTGTGGAAGCCTCAGTGACAGAGTGGGTTATATCACTATCATTGTGTGCTGGTGATTAGGTGACTCACTCTGGGAATGCATTGTTTATTCAAAGTTATTTTTACTCTATAGTTGTCAAGGGACAAGTTTAAAAATTTGATATTTCCACACCCCTGCTAGCATGCATTATTTGTGAGTGAGGAGGTCCATCTAGTAACATGGATCTTTTGCTTTGTATTCCTTTCAACAATGACTTCCAAGTTCATCACTGGTCGCAAAAAACACTGACGAGCAAAAGAAATTGTTCCAAAAAAAGATTTATTAAAATTGGGATTCAAACACAAAATAATATCACCCAAATCATGTAAAACAGAAAATTAGAAATTCAACAGACACAAATGCAGCTTGCTTTAGTTCACTGAATTCCATGGGAAATTACCTTTACTTACCAATATTGGAAATCCACAAGATTGATGTGGGTATAAAAACAGCTCACAATATTCTTCAGTGCATAAGGAACACAGAAATTAGTGCCACTAAATATTTTGGTGGCGCTCGTGCAGCAATTACAAACAGTGGACAGACCCAGGACAGACAGTCACACAGTGGACAGATCCAGGACAGACAATCTCACAGTGGACAGACCCAGGACAGACGAGCACACAGTGGACAGATCCAGGACGGACAATCACACAGTGGACAGATCCAGGACAGACAAGCACACAGTGGACAGATCCAGGACAGACAATCACACAGTGGACAGATCCAGGACAGACAATCACACAGTGGACAGACCCAGGACAGACAATCACACAGTGGACAGACCCAGGACAGACAATCACACAGTGGACAGATCCAGGACAGACAATCACACAGTGGACAGATCCAGGACAGACAATCACACAGTGGATAGACCCAGGACAGACAATCACACAGTGGACAGACCCAGGACAGACAATCACACAGTGGACAGACCCAGGACAGACAATAAAAACAGTGGATCGACCCAGGGCACACCTACCCAGGTCTTATAACATGTATTGACATGGGCAGTGAGTTTTGTTTAGGCCAAGCCTCTTCCCTATGGGTTTCTTCAGGAAAACCATATCTTATTTACTTCACATCAGGGCTCGATTTAGGATCTGGATTTAACTTGCACAATGGGCATGATGACATGAAAACCTAATTGCACCAGACAAAACTAGGTTGCACCCTGGTCCCATTAATTTATCAAAAGTTGAAACATAGCCAGGTTTGTTGCCAGTGTCACATAAATACATGACGTTTTGCTGTAAAACGTTACAGGAACATGCCAAAAACTTGAAATACCCACAGTTTGATGACATCAAACCCAAGAAAGCATGGCAAATATAACACAGGGATTAGTGATATAGTATGGTAAATAAAGCCTGGAGTTATTGTGTTCAAAGATCGATGTGGTGTGAACCATAAAGGGTTAGTTTTATTATGCAATAATAGGTTACACTGGTGCATGTAGATAAAGATATCAGGTTTTATTATGCAATAAAAGGTTGCTCTGGTGCAAGTAGATTAAGATATCAGGTTTAATTATGCAATAAAAGGTTGCACTGGTGCATGTAGACTAAGATATCAGGTTTTATTATTCAATAATAGGTTGCACTGGTGCATGTAGATTCAGATATCAGGTTTTATTATTCAATAATAGGTTACACTGGTGCATGTAGATTAAGATATCAGGTTTTATTTTTCAATAATAGGTTGCACTTGTGCATGTAGACTAAAATATCAGGTTTTGTTTTTCAATAAAAGGTTGCACTGGTGCATGTAGATTAAGATATCAGGTTATATTATTCAATAATAGGTTACACTGGTGCATGTAGATTAAGATATCAGGTTTTATTTTTCAATAATAGGTTGCACTGGTGCATGTAGACTAAGATATCAGGTTTTTATTTTTCAATAAAAGATTGCACTGGTGCATGTAGATTAAGATATCAGGTTATATTATTCAATAATAGGTTACACTGGTGCATGTTTTATACAGTTAAGTCAAGCCCTGCTCATATTTTGTTATACTTAATATTCATCTTTAAATATTTACAGGTTTCTATTTTTATATTTATGGAATAGGAGGATGTTGATGTCAACCGATGATTGACTGTTAAGCTTCTATACCGCCAATGATACTCATGATTGAGCCTTTAAGGTGTTTTGTGTATTCATTTCTCTGCACTATTCAATAATGGTTTATGTGACATGAAAATGAAAATCTGAAGCTATTCAAACAGAGGAGGATCTTACTAAATATATATATAATTGTAGCATGATGAGGGAGTAGTAATGCTAATTAATCTGTTAAGCTAATGAAATAATGAGATTCTTAACTAATCAAATGCAAATCAAGTTTTAACAATTCATCTCCTCCTTTTATCTGACTGAATTTCAGGTGCTATTTGTCAAAATGGATATATGGAAGATGTAATTGTTGTCATGAAAAGTGTTTCCTTCAAACACATGTCAATTGCATTGAAATATGATTTGACACTTACAATAGGTCTGAAATGTTAAGTGAGGTGGTTACTGAGAAATACTCATGTTATATTGTTTTTAATTACTTAAAACTCAGGCTGTTGTTATATCACAATGTCCGTTATATAAAAACTACATAATTTGTCATCTCAATATGAAGGGCGCTAGGTTCGGTCTGTAGAGGGTCCCCAGGTATATATGATTTTATTAATGGGAAGATTTAGCCTTGGTAATGTCCACTATTTAGGGAAAGATCTGACTGAGGCTAAACCGTTCTTTGAAATTTTTATTTTAAACAAACTCATTCACTCCTCATAATAGATCTTTCCTTCTAAATTTAAGGCTACTGGAAAAAATATTTTTTTCACTGATTTGCTCCTTTTCACATCCAGGTCCTTGAAGAATTATGTACTTACAGCCTACCTGACATACAGAGAGGGGAAGGATCAGGCCTAGGCTGAAGCATCCCCCTCAGCTTAGTTTTTCTGCATAGGTTGTGTTTGTAGTCTTCATCTTTTCCCCAGTGGTAGTTGCTTTTGCTGCATGGCCATTTCCACTCATCAAAGTGTCAACAAAGTGAACACATAAAAGGTTGGTTTTGTATGGGAGATGTGTTTCATGTGCCTCTAAGATAATCTTCAGTTGGGAGCACCAATATTTGGATCCAAATCTTAAGTACAAAATCTTTACTGTGAAGAGTCGGTATCAGACAGATTTTACAACGATGTTCTGGCTTTTACATATTCCACTTGATTGGAAAATATAAAAGCAGCTTCATGGGTTTGTGAACATTGTTTTATTTCCTGAAATGCATTGGAATAAACTGTTTTCTCTATTTGCCTTCAAAAGGAACAGCACAGAGGATTGATATTAGAATGATCACTTGTACAAGAATATCACTGACATACACTAAACTAAAACTTTCAAACATAAGAGTCAACATATTGCTGTAGTTGTATTTGTGAAATAAATGTGATTTCAAAGTCATGCTAAAGAGTTAGATGGGCACAAGTCATTACCACAAACACACGTCAAAAAGCTGATATGTATTACCATGAGTAAAAGCAGGTAAGTAGCACCAAGATATACAAGCTTGTATCATGAGATTACATCCAGGAGGACGACATACAGATGTACACAGGGTGGTCACCAATACAGGAGGGGCTGTCAAAGGTGCCTACATTTGCCTCACAACAAATACATCCATAGATTCATATGATAAAGTACACTCTTTTATAGGACCTAAACCTCATTTGAAAGAAAAATCAAGACAGCAACTTTGAAATGCGTAAAAACAATGCATGTCTTGTGTGGCAACTATTGTGGGCCAAACTGCAGCCTCCCCAACATGCTGACCCATTGAGTGCATAGGATCACTGACCATCTGTGCAATCATTCACTATCCTTGACAGTTTTTTGTCTTACAGTGATACGCGTTTTGAAGAATTTCAGCTCTTGACAAACTATGAGGAATGTTGATGGTCCTATATCACAATTATTGCTGATATTTGTACAGGAAAACAATTTCTCACAACACATTAGTTGAGTGAGGGATCTCATGACCACAGCATTCTGCCATCTGCAATTTTGTATAGATATGCTATGTCAAATTGCTATGCCAAGGCATTTTTCCAAGTCTATCTTTATTATTGGCCAACAGAAAGCATTTTCAGTTTTGTTTTCAAACTGCAGTTTGCAGAAAGCCAAGTGTCAGTTACCTTATTACATACATGTACCTGAACAGCAGTAAGTAGTGACAGTGCAAAACATACTGTGTAGACAAATTTAATGAGATTAGCAGACCTGAACTAAGAGTTTTGCTCACAATGCTTGTTGACCCAGTATTTTAGGTATGTTCAGAACATTATTATGTGACATAATGATTGTTTCATGGGTTCACTTGAATCTACTCCTCAGATCATTTACTGGTGGTGCTCATGTTAAGTGTGTGTCAAAGTGACCCGTAAGTGTTCAACATCTGTCCAAGTATGCTCAACTACATTTTAACCTAGTTCAGCATATCATATCCATATAAATAAAACTTAAGTTGATATGATTGATATCTTCGTATTTTGGACAGTTTGGTCGTAACATGTTCAAAGATGTTCAACTTGCAGTCCTTGTAACAATCTATGTATGTATTTGAGAGTTGTCTCTCTTTGTTGGACTGGTATGGTTGCACATCAGCCACATGTTTGCTGAGTTACAGTCAGCATCAGTGATATAGCTGAACATCTGTGTCCCATAGCATGATGATAGATAGACAGATGATATACTAATGACTGGATGAGGAAGTGGCCTAGCATTCCCCGGTGCCATCAACACTCTAATTAGTTAACCTGTCACTATAAAAATAGCTGGACCATACCATGTCCATTGTTAAAATCAGCCATGGTGCAGGATTACACTGCCTCCCATAACATGCTACCCAAGTTTCCTTGAAGTAGGGAGGAGGAGGGAGGGGGCATTGTGCATTATTGAGGTAATAACTTTCTACTACCCTATCATGCAACATTACTGTCAACATGACACAAAGCATAATTTGTTGGTAATAAACACAATATACAACTCAAAATAGAGAAAAAGTAAACAACTCAAAAAGTACAAATGAATTAATTATGCATAAGTTTAAATGATTTAAAACAATTGGCATATTCAGATCCCAAATAAAATCAGCACATTTAAAGAAATACAGGGCTCATTGATCTCTGTTGGACATCCTGATCATGAACTCCCTTTGGCATTTTACATAGCAACTATACACTTCTGTACATAACAAGCCTGGCACTACACAGAACTTGGGGGAGACCATTTATCCAAGGCAAGAGTGTCCACTCGCCAACATCAAAGTATATAGTTTTCACCACTGCCATAATAGCCAACTCTTGGCTCGATCGCAGTGCCGCCCTGTGTAGAGCAGGAGTTATGCTGCTTGTGATGAAAATGTGATAACCAAACAGATCGCTGTTCTTATTTTGAATGGCTTCACAATGAGACTACCACAGCAGACAACCTGGTCGATCAGATAATGAAAAAATTAAAGATTTCATCCCTGACGGACAAACAAAATGACAGATTGCCACAGTAAAGATACTTATTATTGCCACATTTTGTTCTTGCAATAATAGAGGCTCGTGGTATTAAAAAGTACCACTGCACAATGTGGTAACAAGAAACGCTCAGTATGGATTGTCCAAAAATAGGACTGCATCGCAGTTACTGCGATTAGCATTCAGTTGTTTGTGTGTTAATATGCAGTGAAGTTTCCAGTCAAAATTAAAAGGCTTTAAGTACTTGTAAGGGTTGACTGAAAACTTGGAAGGTCAGCACAAATTTGACACACGGAACTCAGGTGTTGATTTTGTAAAATGTTCTCAGATTGGATTATCAATATGTGTTCTTGAGCACAGAAAAGTAGTTTGAAATAGCACAGGTGAAAACTAGATGTTGGGGACAGGTCATTTATTACAAAAGGGGATGTCAGAGGTTCTTGATACACTAATGAACTGAAATAATGACCCTTCCTAATGCTTGTCATATATTTGGATGTCCTTCCCCATGTCCTTGTACAGTTCTTTTCATGACCCTCCCTGAAAAGACAAAATGCAAAAGGACCTTCTATATTAATATAACATGTCCTTATTTTCATGACCTCTCTAAATTATTTCTTATGCCCCTCTCCCAGAGACTCATATTTTAGTGACCCTCCCCTGATTCCCTCTGACCCAACCACCCTTGCAATGAAATACAAGTTCCTTAATATGGGCAAGTGGACACTCTTGTCTCAAGAAGATGGGACTACACTCACTACACAGAGCTAGGGGGAGACTACTGGCACTACAGTCACTACACAGAGCTAGGGGGAGACTACTGGCACTACAGTCACTACACAGAGCTAGGGGGAGACTACTGGTGATCCTCTCATCTGGAAAACAAGATAATGGAAACAATCTGGTGCTGAAAGGGGATCAGTTCACATCTCGATATACATTAGTGATTGTTTCAAATGACTTCATAGTGGTTTGACAGCAACATACTTCATGAATCTAAAGCACAAAACTTGCTATGCACATATATTTTACCAAATAACATGCCCAAACATGTGCCTCTTTGCTGAATGCAAAATAAAACTTGCCATCAACTAAAATGCCCAAGAAATAATGTAGCCCCATTTTTCATGTTATTACTGTTAACATGTCTAGTTTGCATAATAATTAAAAAGATGATTAAATGCAAGGATTAGACTTAAGTAGAGATGACAGATGAAAGATGGAGGTGATTATTTATTGATTGTTTGTGTCAGATATAGGAAAACAATGGAAGTATATAGGCTGCAGTCTGATTGGTTGAAAACCAGTGTTGAATGAGCTTTCAATATTTTGATTTCTTTAGTGACAAGATGGGATTTGTGGATGTTGGGTTTGATGTTCTGATCCAGAACTACCATACAGTGCATGGTGACAATGAACCAGTCAAAACAAGTCTAACTTTTGGAAAATCTTACGAATAATTGAAAGTAGCACAAATTCACCCACTAGAAAAAGACAGCGGCAAGACACTGTTGCTCACTGTTCATTCCATGTGATATATCTATGTTCACAACAAGTTTTTTGCACTGATATTGTCAACAATCAAATAGCTCTAGTAGTTACAACCATAGATGTATAATAAAAACACATTTGATAAAGCACTTTCTGAAATATCTAAAACAGTAATGATAAAATATATAGTTATTATCACTTACACAAAAATCTGGAAAACACATTCCATAAGCTCACTTGGACCTTGGATTACACTGAGCTCATTAGGTCTCAGAACCAAAAGTTTGTATTTTAGGTCTCGAATTATTCATTAATATTCACAGACGTTGATTCCAGCAAAAGAAACTGAGTAGAGAATTAGGTGAGCTACATGTCATCAGTGGGAGCTGGGCTGTCTGAAGGAAGAAGGAGAGGGTAGAGGGAAGCACCAGTCCATATGTCAGTAGTAACATGGGCAGCAGGGTACTACCTGAGTTGGGTGGGTAATGCCGCACGTGTGACTCGCACAATACTAACCTATCACATGGTGATTTCACATTTCTAATTATTCTGAATGTGTACACAACTCTCTATGTAACATCTAGTTGGACATCATCAGGTTCTTTCAGCAACCTGGAAAGTGAGTCCTGGCCCTGATAATCACTCCCTCCAACATGGAATGGAGGGCAGCAGCTGACTGTGGATATCTTGGCCTGAGTGTACCTTCCTGGGCTACATCACATTACAATTGTCACTGTGTATACACACTCTAGGCTTGGTGTGTGTTGAAGTATATCTCGGGGCCGCTATGTCCTCGAGCAAAAATGTGTGGGAATGATAACTAGGTGACTGATCAATGCTGGTATTGCAGAGCCCACTCAGTGAGTAAATAATGTTTGTCACTTGGGAGCTGGCATGGCCAGCGTATGAAGAGTTCCTCATCACAGTATGTACATCCACACAGAGGGCCTGCTCTGCTGGCTTCAGTCACAGGTGGCACAGCACTTGCCCACCTCCTTTCGAGGGTTGCTGCAGGTCGTCACTGGTGGGCAAACCTGCCTGTCACACTCCACCTGACCCTTCTGCAACACACAATGTGGAACATTTTGTTTACATGTACACAAACCTGGCTACACATTCAACGTAATTCACCACAGGATATAGTAACTGGTTTGGTGGACAAATTCCAGCCACAAATTAAGTTCTCTTTATCCCTGATATAAATTTCTCTATGTTTAAGACATACAAAACAGTCTCATATTTCACGTCCAGTTATTGGACAGTTCTTTAAAGGGAAAGTTAAGTCAATATAGCAACTTTGCAGATTTTAATGCCTTCGGGCATACATTATCTCAAATGATTGACCAAAATGAAAAATTCTTCCATTGAGGTGATTTCCCTAAGTGGAGGGTAAAACAGGTTCCCGGTGTTTGACATGCTGCGCAATTTCAACAATCATCATGATCAGGCCAACTCCCAGTCTGCCTGCTTCTACCTTGGATTCTGTTATACAGTGTCTTTCTTCTGTTTTTTCATCTATTTGGTTACCGTATCCACAACTTATGTCACCTTGGTAACAACACTGAAGATGCCTTCAGTTGTTTACTCAGGGGATAAATCCCTGACAGGCATTTACTGTGTGGAATAGGGCCAAGGGAGGGCATTTGGTGTTTTATTACCCAAACAGGAAATTAGTAATAAAATGATAGTTACCGATTGTTAATTGTTATTTTAATTGTTCACAATGTCAAGATCAAAGATCGCTTCATACAGTCAACAATGTATGCAATGCTGTTATGTTTGTAGGAATGAGAGACAAAGCAGGTCCAGTATACGTATAACGGCTGAGAATCGCAAGATCGAAAACACGGCAAACCTATCAGGCATCAGTTGTCACCGCTAAGCCTTAAGCTTTTGGCAACGCTCTGAAATGGGTTTGTTTTGGAACCTGTTTTCAGCACTTTTACTTGGACATTTAAATACTTTCTACGAAGATATTGAATTTTTGTCCCTCTGAAATTGACACACTATACTGACTCCAAGCTGACAAGTCCTTGTGTTAGCCCCTTATAATGCCAAGTGCCAGGCAGGGTAGCAACAAGTACCATCTTTTAATGTCTTTTGGTATGACACAGTCGGGGATTGAACCCCTGACCTTCAACTCTCCAGGTGGATGTTCAACCACTAGACTACGGAGGCCTTCCAAACAGAAAAGAAAATGTCAAAGTACCTACAAAGTAAAAGGCACCGGTTTGCTACTTTTAGTCGATAAAGCAACATAAAGCTACACTAAATGGGTTTTTAACTGTATTACAGTAGCAAGAGCACTGGCTCATGGCCAGGCTGATGTTATACTATGAGGAAGACCTGAACGCTGTGGTATGTCCAGACAGACAGAGCTTGTATACAGGATGAGGGGGCACAATCTCATATCAAGTACAAGATTTTAAGTAACAAAGTGAATAAAACCCTCTCATCCATAACATCAATTTGTGTGATCCTTATGTCATTTTAGACGAAGAGTTCAATTACTGAAACAGTTCACCTGATCTAATTTGAATAATGCCACATGCCTACATGTTTTATGTGGTGTGGAATAACTATGGAGATTTCCCTTTTTTTATATGATAAATAGAGATTACTACACGTTGTAAGATAAATGGTTCTGACAGGCATGAGTGCAGTAATCTGTTTCTTACACACCCTAAAATCGCATCTTTTTAGTATCAAATTGATTTCATTCTGATGATCGCAGTGGCGCATTAGTACATAACACAACAGTCATTACTGACGCCACCCGACGTACTGCTTACTACAAATAAATAATGTGACCCTACACAAAAAGGTTTCCGCTATATCTGTGGATTATCAAGGCGATGATGATAATGCAAACTAGGTAAGATCAATGAACCCGCTGGATGCCGAGTTAATACTTTTCACCTCAAAGAAATTACCAAATATGTACACAATGTTTACTTCCGTATGACCTCACCATCCACTTTCAGAGGAGTATTTTCGTTGATCAAGGGATCATATATACATAAATGTGTCTTGTAAGTAATCAGAAACAATCTGACAATCTACGTACTGTTATTTGTTTTTATGTTTTCCAATGTAACCAAAAGAATTAGTCGGGAAATGCAGATAACTACCGTCGTCATTGAGCTGTGATTTTGCAGCAGTCATGGCATCACACAGGACGGAAACTTTCATGATTTCAGTTGAATTTACCTGATCATTGTAATGTATATATTTTTAATTCCATAATTTGACCTACAATAGTCTTACCATGAATTTTCTCAAACACGTGCCAATATATGCAACAATTAGACGAATGGATCTCTAGAAACAGGAAAGAATGCTACAGCGTAAAATCTGAACTTTGCTTTGTTTACATTTCAAACATGTACAGTTTTCCAAGGGTTTCCAAACCTGATTTGTTTTGCTTGATTTCTTCTAGATACTTTGTATCAGTGACAAAGACCATTTGTCATTTGATGTATGAGGAATTCAGGGATGTATGCATCGCAGCTGAGTTTGAAAAATATGCGATGTAATAGGCGTCTTATAACCGGCATACGTGAAATGTGATATTGTAAACACTAGATCCAATATGGCTGTAGTACACTTCGGCATTCGTGTTTGCGCATTTTGCAAAGCATTCTAAATGATTCTAGACTTTTCAGCTATGATTCAGAATTATCATTGGTGATTTGATGAAAAACAGATAGAAATCTAACCGTGATTACTGATATTTTGAAATTATTCTTCGAGTAAATATCCAATACTTAGATTTCTAAACATATAGTTAATTATTCGACTTTGAAGTAAGGGTTGATGAGGAGGGACATATATATGTCGCTGTGGCATCCAGGGGGGTAAGGCTCTAAAACGATAACATTCAACACAGACGTAGGTGAACATTCGACAGAAGCACGAGTAATGATAATGACTGACGATAAGGAAAGTAGGCCGTCATAATCTCACCTCAGGTCATCACCATGGAGTAGCCAATCATGGGCCTGGAATTCGATCTCACACATATATTTGATACCAGTCATCTCAAATAGGTTTCTCACCCACAGGTGTGTAAGAAAAGTATAACTTGCATCCTTACTGGAATATTTTGAACAGTTGATTAAGTTTTCTTATGTCCATAATTAGAATTTTTTAAGTCGGTTTTAAAACAGACCATGATCAACTGACCTTGCATTGACATATTTTGCACGTGTCTATTTTCCATTTCTCCCCATGCACTCTCTTCTTCCTCTTGTGGTCCTTGCAGTGGTAGTTCCTACCCTGCAGCACCTTCTGCATGTTGCGCATCTGAAAAAATAGTGACCCTGCACTGTACGTGGTTATATAGTCTGAAATACCTGCAAAGTACCAAAGTAAGATGGTTCTTATCTGAATCAATATTTTAGTGATAAATATCAGTTGTTATCGCTAGTTTACAAAAGGATAAGTCTGTTGAAAAATAAAAATCAACATTTGTAGGTATTACCAATCTGCTCATAACCTAATACTGCTAAGATAAATAGATGCACCTATAGATAGCCAAGACTTCTTTATAAGTGACCCATCAGGAGAAAAGGATACAATTGTGCTTAATTCCGCAAAAATCACCGTGTATTTGGACTGTACAAAAATATCATATTTTTCTCTTGCTAGTTCATACTTTAATATAATTTAAACATTATTTAAAACCATTTCAGCATACATGTTTACTTTCAATTAATCAGACATTATACCTAAAAAATGAAATTAATACATAAACAGTTATAAGTCTCAAAACGGGACTTTGGAAAAAATGAGTACAAGCGTTTTTATGCCATGTATCTCTCTGTAATAAATATGAATTGAAGCTAATTTACTTTTAAAATATAATGAGAAGTCATCCATAATATCCATAAGGTCCTTTATCTCATGACTGGTCACTTATATCTTCTGCCAATGTGTTTGATACAGACAGACCAACAGAGGAGCACACTGAGTTAATCATAAACACATTGATTAGTGTGTTTGTACCTTTCTTTTCAATTTGCTATAATTTTTGACCATCTCGGCCATGGTCGCTTCCATCCATTCGAGCCGGGAGTCCAGCAGCATGACATCATCCTGTACAATAGACGGCGTGGCATCTGTGGAGTTACAACCTGGCTCTTCCTCAGCCGCTACCACTGGTTCTGTCACATTTGCAGGCGGTCCCATCTCCTCAGCGTCCTGGTGATCTGGGTAGCTGTATTCCACGGAACGACGGCCACGAAAATGACGGGCAAATGATTGGAAGTTGTTGGTCCTTCTGCAGTCTGCAAAACAATATTAACTTCATAAACTGGTAATCTGATAGGCTGACAACTGAAATTTTGTTTGTGTTAATTCAATTAATATAAAGAAATGAAAAATGCTAAACCATCCAAGCACTCAAACAACTCTCCCTCATTCATCACACATGAAACTGAAACCTAAGTACCACTGATACATCATCTGTGTGATATACATGGACATGACCAAATAGAAACATGTCTCGTAACCACTGATACATCATCTGTGTGATATACATGGACATGACCAAATAGAAATATGTCTCGTAACCACTGATACATCATCTGTGTGATATACATGGACATGACCAAATAGAAACATGTCTCGTACCATTGATACATCATCTGTGTGATATACATGGACATGACCAAATAGAAACATGTCTCGTACCATTGATGCATCATCTGTGTGATATACATGGACATGACCAAATAGAAACATGTCTCGTACCATTGATACATCATCTGTGTGATATACATGGACATGACCAAATAGAAATATGTCTCGTAACCACTGATACATCATCTGTGTGATATACATGGACATGACCAAATAGAAACATGTCTCGTACCATTGATGCATCATCTGTGTGATATACATGGACATGACCAAATAGAAACATGTCTCGTACCATTGATACATCATCTGTGTGATATACATGGACATGACCAAATAGAAACATGTCTCGTACCACTGATACATCTTCGCTGTGCAGAGCTGTATTGTTTTGGTTTGAGAACTGAATTGTGCATTTGACGTCACGCTCGGAAATTATTTCATGCATGATTTACCGATGCACAGAACCGTCAACATACTGTCCCTTCAAATAGGACTTGAGATCAATCATTTTTTCCTTACTTATAAATTAAGTGTTGAAGGCTTTTCTGGCAAATTTAGCTGTTTCAAGGCATCATATTAGTGGAATATATTATTCCTGGTAAAATAATAGTTTCAGATACAATTTCTTCCTGTCACTGCATCATATTCAAGTTCTTATTAATGGGTATTTTTTAACTGAATCACCCGTAGATCAGGGAGAAAACGTATGCAGTTGAATGCCATTTCCTGAAGTGGTTTACAAGTAAATACACAGAGTAATTTAATTTCACGTCTAGTGATGTTTTATCACAAAATTCATATGTTTTTATTTCCAGTTTGTTTACCTGAAGCAATAGGAAGCAGTTTTTGACTGCACACAATACACAAAATAGCAACTTCTCGAAACTTGTACACAAGTGGGTATAATACTCATATCGCACTAGTACGCACTTGTCAAACACAAGACCAAAATTGGAACAAACCCACAAGCTAAACATGTAACAAACCATTTTGAACAAAAATGTCCCAGTAATGATTATACCAATTTTTAAATACAGCTTCTATAGCTAACATATTGAACATCAGATTCAAATCTCTTGAAAAAATTCATCATTCATGGGAAAAAGCATGTGACGTGTCAGCTTCATTGGTCAAGTGGTTTTTAAGGAGCTTATGATTATTGTGTGAGGAAATGTACTTTCGAGAGAATTTAAGAACATGGTACAAAGTGCTTAGGTCAAATTTAAAATGTTGCAGGAAACAAGATCTTTAATATCGCCAGAGACGTAACATACATGTTGAGCCCCACTACAAACTTCACCTGTACCAAATTTCATTACATTCTGACTGAGCAAGTATTTATAAGTATAAGTATTTATGATTGCTGTGGCTATGACTACTCCTACCACAAACCTGTCTTGCTATCAAACTTGCATTCATGAAACAAATAGTATTGAAATGGACATGTTATCATACTGATATTTCCATGAATTAACATTTTAAATTTGCCCTTATTCAATATATCTTGCTGCTTAATAATTCCCAAAGTTTACCTTAGCACCGGCCACTGTTAAATGTATTTATGTCTTGATAGGCTGCCATAAAGCCACACCTTTTCCCAAACTTCAAAGATATATACTAGGCTAATCTGTCTACAAACTGAATTTGGTGGAATTCTTAATTGCTGTCTGTTTGAATATAATTATTGTCTTCACATTAAATGTCTACAAACTGACTTAAGCTGAAACTGATTGTCTAGAAAGCAGCTAAGGCATGATGGTGTTGTGTGGTGTGTCTAATATCACCTTCACAGCAGTCGGTCCACATTCGCAGATCCAGGCTGGGTATATCATCACAGGTCTTGTAATCTCCAGTATTCCTTTTAAAGACATCCAATTGGACTTTGTTGATGCTGTCTGTGTTGTCACAGATGACCCTTGCTAGCGACATCTGTCTGATCTGAACGATCTGCTCTGTGTTGAACACGCCAGGTTTCTCATACCAGAACCTCAACACAACAAAGACACAAATCAACACTCGAGTAACTTGATTCAAAATAAAAATCTCTCTCTCCTGTGAAAATTTAAAAGCAGATCATTTCAGTACAGTGTGAATCAGAGATTTACCTGTCTCCTGCCCGCTGCCTCTTGAACTGATCTGCTAGAATACACAGGAAAGTTGGTCCCACCTTGGCACCATCTAGTGGTGTTTCTGCCATTCCTCCCACAAATACATCAATGTTATCTGAGTTGAACAAGGGAATACAAGTCAATGTAAAACAAACAAACATCGCTCCCAGAAATACATCAACATGATCAATGTCATCTAAATTGAACAAGTGTTAATGTTAAACTACATATTCAATCGTCTCCATCAGTACAAAGTCCCTAATAATATATTAATACACTTGTGTCATACAGCATTCATTCTATACATGTGTCATTAAGATCGTGACATCTACTGTAAAACACTGTAGGAGTATTTTCCAAAATAGTTGATAAAATTGGTTCTGTCCAAATATTGTATTTTGGAGGACCTTGTAATATATAATCTCCTGGTAAACACACTGGTTTCTAAATCCACCAACTCACCAGGATGGCCATACAGATCCTGCAGCTTGGCTCGCGTGTCACGGTCTCTAATCTCATGCCGCAGGTCATTAAATGTCCGAGCTGGGCTCATGTTACAGAAGTTCCTAAATGCATTGTAAAATGGCAGGCCATGATCTCTGCCTCTCTGGATGTTGAGTGATGCCAGATCTTGACCAATCGAGTTAGCCAATGAAAATAGCTTTTCTGTCAGTTCCGTGTTGAGCAGCTCTCCAGGCATCCTCTTCTTGGCTGCTACCCCAAACATGCCTCTCAACAGTGGATCAATTCCACCCTCCTCCATAATCTTGTATGGAGAGAAAAATGCTTTATGGAGAGGTAGGTTACCTTCAGGGATTGGTTGAAATGTTTCATTCAGTCTAAATATCACAGGCTGCACTAAAGAGTGCCCAAATCGTAATGCTGCTGTTGCAAATACATTTGATATTGTTGGATTTACACTTGGGTCATATCCTTTGTATGGTCCCATCAGTTCCATTCCTCTAGTGCCTAGAATCTTAGGTATCCACTGCGTGTATGTTATATGCTGCATGACACCTCCAATAAGTTTCCTAGTTTCATGATACACCTTGTTGCCATCCCAGTGCGGATTCAGCTGTAAGATAATGGTAGCAATACGGTTGTGTTCTCGTAACCATAGTGTATGCATTGCTGTGAGAGCAAGATGTTCATTGGCTCGATGGTCTCCAGCTCTGAAACATGGGACATGTCTTTTACTGGGTTCTATCTGACAATCAACATGGGAGAGAGAGTCGTCGTCAAATGGCAAGTACCTTGACCCCCGCAGTGTCAGTGATCCCACACGCAAGAGTCCTCTGTTATTTGATAAATCTCTCAAGCTCTCTGCCTCCCTCGGGGTACTACCATACACATTTGACGCATCTATGAATGTGGTGAGGGAGTTGATCTGCTGGCGAGGCGACACGGTGTGGTAAAATATGGAGGTACTTCCTGTGTTGCATGTTGCGCTGCTTCTGGAGAAGCCGAGGCACCGCGTGTGCACACGGCCATCACTGTTGGGGACAGGGATAGGGAAACATGGACTGATATTTTCACAGCTCTCATTACACCGACGACCATCACTGAACCTTGCAAAGCTCACTGACTGAGGCGCAAGACTCATGTCATGGTCCATGAACTGCCCCCACTGCATCAGCATGTGCGTGTAATCCTCATCCTCAGTCACATGACTGGTCGACATCATCAACGAGGATATGAGGCGCGGGCTTGGAAGTTGTTGACCATTGTAGCGGCGAGAGCGCACCCAGCCTGTAACACAGGTACAACACAGATTACATACTAACACTTACATAATCAGTCACATGTCACCTATGTCATTCAATGTTGCAGTAACATTGATGTTCTTGCTGGCATGAATCATGAAAAATCAAAGTTATGTAGGTAAAATGACAAGAAAAGTAAATGAGCATACCTACTGGAGTATTAAACCCATTCTCATAGATGGGCTCCAGCAGCCTGAGGAACGCCTTGTTGGATGCCCCCCAGTCAGGCTGGTTGAAGTTGTTACACGTGCCATCCAGAGTGCGGTACTTGCGGTGGAAGCATGTGTTGGAACAGTCAATGTTCTGGTACTGATTCCTGCACCCGGACATGTTGGCAATCAGCGAGAGGTGACTCGGGGACACCAGCTCACGGTAATTCTCCTCTGTAAATACAAGAAAACATACCACATCATGACGAATAGCTTCCCACTCATTTAACACCTCTAACATTCAACTATAGCAATTTCATTTTTCAACATCCATGTGCACTCTTTCCGTCATCCTATGTAAACCAAGCATTATCCTTTCTTTTTCTATGAACAAACAATTTAGCCCAATGTATATACTATTGTTCTACATGACTTTTGAGTGTGCCAGCTCACCATGGTCATCCAGCTCATATGTGTTTCCGTCATTCACGTGTTGGTGGATGATGTTCAGTGTTTGCTCAAAGATTTCTTCTGCTCTGGCTAGTTCAAGTGCCTCTGGTGCTGGGTAACGGAAAATTCTCAGCAAGTCTTCAATTGTATGTGTTTTGTCCCCATTAAACAGGTCACGCAAAGTGTCGTTGATGGCATTGTTCACAATTGACCGTGCACGGTTTGAGGCTGTGTGAACAAAGTTGTCTCCCCTCCTAGTGGGAGTTGGAATTCCTGCAAAAAGACAATCAGCAAACATAGAATTGAATGTGCTTAGGTATGAGATGAGCCATCTTCTAAATCAGCTGAATATTCCATCTCTAACACTACAACACTGTGAAGCTTACCCTGCACTTGCACATTGACTGACTTGACTGATCTCCCTGCCAGATTCTGGGCAATGCAGTCATATCTGCCTGAGTCCCCATGCTGCACATTCCGTACTGTCAATGTGTTGCCTTGGAGGACATACTTTTGACTGTTGCTTATCCGTCGTCCCTCCTTCCGCCACTGGTAGTGAGGTATCGGGTTTCCCTCCGCGTGACACTCCATACTGATGTCACTCCCTGCAGTGGGCACACTGCTCACAGTGCGCTCACTGAACACAGGAGCAGCTGCAAAAGAAAACCATATTACAGTCCTACTTACAGCTAGTCGAACAGTTAGTAAAGCTAAATCTTACCTGTGAATGAAGTCTTATTAACACACTGAACATGCTGCACTTAAAAGTGTTTTGAAAAAACTGCAATTGCTTTTTACAATTGAAGGTCTTATTACTGTTTAAGAAAGCACTTCAGGCTTTCATCCTACATCCAGCTGACACAATATGATATAACTGAAATACTGTTCAGAGCGGTGTCAAACAATTTGGCTCACTCTCTTTGTGAAGGACTCAAATGAAACTACAGAATGTGTTGTCCTACTGTGAGAGATGATGTGGAGTCTTGCACTGGCTTGTTGTTCCCCTGCTGCATTTTCTGCCCGGCAAGTGTATTGCCCGCTGTCTGAGCTCTCAGTGTTCAGGATGCGGAACAAGCGTCCTCCATTCTGTAGTGTGTAGCGCCTGTTGGTGGGTATTGGGCGACCTGCAGTAGCAACAGTAAATTCAGGCTACACCTTGTAGACCCTCTGACACCATCTAAGTCCATGTACACACACCCTCAAATGTATGCATCAAGTACCAAGTCTCATAGATATTGCTGGAATTATTTCATATGGAATACTTTGTCAATAAATGAGTCGATCTACAAACTTTTCTTTAATATCAGCGATGTGTAAGACTTAAGATAACAAGTATTTGCCACTAAGGTGGCCGAGTCCCCACCACTGGGCACCCGATGACCCCAAAGACACCTTGTTTATCCTTGTGTTAACAACTATATTAAGTATGTTCAGATGGACATAACACTAAGTCCCTGCTTTGTGTGCAAGCCAGAGACAGACATTGTTGGTAAACTACACCTTTTAAACACATGAATGGAAAATGTCTTTCTGTCTGTTGTGACCTTTGGCAGATAATGTCATATAGTGAAATACTGCTACAAGGCTAGGTGGTAAACTGTCCTTGACCCATGATATACAGCTACATAGCTGGTTGACATAGTGTCCTTTACCCTTGATATACAGCTACATAGCTGGGTGACATAGTGTCCTTGACCCATGATATACAGCTACATAGCTGGTTGACATAGTGTCCTTTACCCATGATATACAGCTACATAGCTGGGTGACAGTGTCCTTGACCCATGATATACAGCTACATAGCTGGGTGACATAGTGTCCTTGACCCATGATATACAGCTACATAGCTGGGTGACATAGTGTCCTTGACCCATGATATACAGCTACATAGCTGGGTGACATAGTGTCCTTTACCCATGATATACAGCTACATTGCTGGGTGACATAGTGTCCTTTACCCATGATATACAGCTACATAGCTGGTTGACATAGTGTCCTTGACCCATGATATACAGCTACATAGCTGGGTGACATAGTGTCCTTGACCCATGATATACAGCTACATTGCTGGGTGACATAGTGTCCTTTACCCATGATATACAGCTACATAGCTGGTTGACATAGTGTCCTTTACCCATGATATACAGCTACATAGCTGGGTGACATAGTGTCCTTTACCCATGATATACAGCTACATAGCTGGTTGACATAGTGTCCTTTACCCATGATATACAGCTACATAGCTGGGTGACATAGTGTCCTTTACCCATGATATACAGCTACATTGCTGGGTGACATAGTGTCCTTTACCCATGATATACAGCTACATAGCTGGTTGACATAGTGTCCTTTACCCATGATATACAGCTACATAGCTGGGTGACATAGTGTCCTTTACCCATGATATACAGCTACATAGCTGGTTGACATAGTGTCCTTTACCCATGATATACAGCTACATAGCTGGGTGACATAGTGTCCTTTACCCATGATATACAGCTACATAGCTGGTTGACATAGTGTCCTTTACCCATGATATACAGCTACATAGCTGGGTGACATAGTGTCCTTGACCCATGATATACAGCTACATAGCTGGGTGACATAGTGTCCTTGACCCATGATATACAGCTACATAGCTGGGTGACATAGTGTCCTTGACCCATGATATACAGCTACATAACTGGGTGACATAGTGTCCTTGACCCATGATATATAGCTATGTAGCTGGGTGACATCGTGTCCTTGACCCATGATATATACCTATGTAGCTAGGTGACATAGTGTCCTTGACCCATGATATACAGCTACATAACTGGGTGACATAGTGTCCTTGACCCATGATATTCAGCTATGTAGCTGGGTGACATAGTGTCCTAGACCCATGATATATAGCTATGTAGCTGGGTGACATAGTGTCCTTTACCCATGATATACAGCTACATAGCTGGTTGACATAGTGTCCTTGACCCATGATATATAGCTACATAGCTGGGACCCTTGAAGATCCGGGGTAGAATAGATCTTCAGTAACCCATGCTTTCCATAAAAGGTGGCTATGCTTGTCGTAAGAGGCAACTAACGGAATCGGGTGGTCAATTTCTCTGACTTGGTTGATGCATGTCATCGATCCCAATTGCGTGAATCGATGCTCGTGATGTCTCTCACTGGATTGTCTGGTCAAGACTCGATTAATAATTGACAGCCATCATACAGCTGGAATATTGCTGAGTGCGGCTTTAAACAACAAACAAACAAATCATAGCGGTGACATAGTGTCCTTGACCCATGATATACAGCTATATAGCTGGTTGACATAGTGTCCTTGACTCATGACATACTGCTCAAGGCTCGGTGACATACTGACCTTTAACTAATACATACTTCTCAAGGCTAGGCGACATACTGACCTTTAACTAATACATACTGCTCAAGGCTCAGTGACATACTGACCTTTAACTAATACATACTGCTCAAGGCTCAGTGACATACTGACCTTTAACTAATACATACAGCTTAAGGCTAGGCGACATACTGACCTTTAACTAACACATACAGCTCAAGGATATATAGGCGACATACTGACCTTTAACTAACACATACAGCTCAAGGCTAGGCGACATACTGTCCTTTAACTAACACATACAGCTCAAGGCTAGGCGGCATACTGACCTTTAACTAATACATACAGCTCAAGGCTAGGCGACATACTGTCCTTTAACTAACACATACAGCTCAAGGCTAGGCGACATACTGACCTTTAACTAACACATACAACTCAAGGCTAGGCGACATACTGTCCTTTAACTAACACATACAGCTCAAGGTTAGGCGACATACTGACCTTTAACTAATACATACAGCTCAAGGCTAGGCGACATACTGTCCTTTAACTAACACATACAGCTCAAGGCTCAGTGACATACTGACCTTTAACTAACACATACAGCTCAAGGCTAGGCGACATACTGACCTTTAACTAACACATACAGCTCAAGGCTAGGCGACATACTGACCTTTAACTAACACATACAGCTCAAGGCTCAATGACATACTGACCTTTAACTAACACATACAGCTCAAGGCTAGGCGACATACTGACCTTTAACTAACACATACAGCTCAAGGCTAGGCGACATACTGACCTTTAACTAACACATACAGCTCAAGGCTAGGCGACATACCGTCTTTGACCCATGACAAGACTGGGCTCGGGTCTCCCCTGGCATTACAGCTGAAGTCTGCATTGTTCCCCTCCTGTACCTCCTGGTCACGAGGAATTACAAAGAATTCAGGGGGTGCTAGAGAAAAGCAAGCAATATATTTAACAATACTCACTCACTATTAAACCACATACAATAGGTAAGTCTGGTGATATTCATGAACGGAACCACTCTGAATCCCCTTAACTAAACTTATGCCTTACTTTTACCTTAAAAATGTATTTATTTGGAATATCTTTGGCAACAGAACGTCATTCTGACCTAAAGGTGAGTGTGTTGATGAGTGTTCTGCTGTGTACAAGCAGTACCTACACTGGATGGTGACTCTGGCCGAAGCTGTGATGGTCTGGATGCTGTTGGCTGCGCTGCACCTGTAGAGGCCCTCGTCCTCTTCCCGCAGATCACGGATCATCAGGGCACCGTTGGACAGCAGTCGGAACCGAGAACTGCTCTGCAGGGGAGACCCATTCTTTGTCCACGTGATGTCTGGTCGTGGGTTTCCTTGTGCCCGACAAAGCAGCTGAATTGTCTCACCTGCCACATCTGTAATATCAGCTGGAGTCTCCATGAAAGTGGGAATCACTGAAGGCACAAATCAAAATAGCTCTTAACATCACAACATTAATAAGACTAAAATTGACTTTATGACTGACAACGCACTCACAAATAAAATCCCCAAAGGCCATGAAATTTTGTATCAACTTGAATGATAACCCTTGGACACAACAAGTGGCACCATAATCACATATAAGTCAATAATTAAAAAAATCAAATCAATCAAATTTGACCATCTGCATCAATCACAGAGGGAGGAGTTTATTGAGAGTTGTGACACATTTGATTCATTTGTGGTCAAAATCCGATACACATCTTCCTAGATATACAATGTCATTTAGAAAGTGGTCAAATGTAACAATGTCATAAGGCAGTGGCGTGGTTATTCTGAGTTGGTCCAATGTTGATAATACAGTTGCCGACGGTCTGAATGGTACCCTTGCATTGCTGAATAGTACATGTCAAGTAAGAAGCATCTTCTTTCATCATGGTAAATTTATACTTATGTCCATCATAGTATGCAAACATCATAGTATGCAAACATCATAGTATGCAAACATCATAGTATGCAAACATCATAGTATGCAAACCCAGTATGCGGTAGGAAAGATACTGCAACTTGCACATTAGCCATAGTGGTAATCAACTGACATCACTAAACATGCTCATATACAGATTTATAACATTTTTGGGAGGCCAGGAACATTCTCAATCAGTCCTATTCTCAATCAATGTTTGATGGTATTACAACAGATTAGGTTCATATTATTTGGAAGCCAGTAACATATATAAACAATCAGTGCACCATACAATTAAAATAGACAATGATCATAACGAAAGTCAAGTCATATAGTCAAGATTACACCAGTATTTACAGGAAAGCAAAAATCAACTATGCATAGAGCAGTCACAGTACTGGCACCATAATAATGGACTCTACCGATGTAAATCAATACCAATTTTTAGGTGATGTTTTAGGGCTATGATTCACACAAGCGGTAATAGGTTATCTGGGTAATTGGTGATCCGTAAATTAGGTGATGTGGGTAGGAACCTGCTCCACAATGGAATATGGCCGTGATACTGGTCTACTCATCCCAAGAACTGTCATTGAAAGTGACATTGTTGACTTGCAAGAGCAACATATGTCCTCATGCCAAAGTAGCTACAAGACAGGACAATCTGTGTCACCAGCAACATGAAATGCAAAGTATTCATAATTGTATGACCATCTTGATGAAATTTGTGTTGAAATCCATGTTCACTAACATTGCTAGCGTGAACAAACATTCACCTGAACTTTGTTCACATTTGAACATTACATACGTCATTGAAATGATGTTTGACTTGCCACAATGGAATGAACAGGGAATGAACAGAGTCATAAGGACTCGCCAAGTTCACAGGGTGGCCAGGCACAATAACTCTCAGAAAACAATAATAATGTGTGTATTTATATTGTGCTAGCCTCCATACACTAGGTCCTACCTAAATATTATCCTGGGGGATGTTTTACTCTAGAGTATAGTATCCTACCTTAGTGTGGGAAATCTGGGATAGGTTATGTCCAAAAATTAAGGGTAATTCATCCCAGTGAAACATACCTAAGTGGAAATAGGAAAATGTATCCTGGGATAATTTACATTAACTTCAATCAGTGTATATTATGCCATGACAGATTTCCTTTGCACATGCATTGCACTCTGGAAACGAACACCACCCCTGTAGAACCTAAGTCCAACTTATTGCCATGGAAACGTGAAAAATAAAAATTTCTAAAATTCCTAAATAGCAAGAGGCACCAGTCCAGTATGTGTCTGGTAAACATGCACAGTTTTTGTTGGAAAGTATTGAATGGGTTTTGAGTTATGCTCTGGAAACAAACTCTACCCTATAGAACCTAAGTTCAACTTGTTGCAATGGAAACGTAAAAAATAAAAATTTATAAAATTCCTAAAAAGCAAAAGGCACCAGTGCAGTATGTGCCTAGTAGACATGCAAAGTTTTGTAAGAAAGGTTTAACAGTTTTTGTGTTATGCTCCGGAAACGAACACCACCCTTATAGAACCTAAGTCCAACTTGTTGCCATGGAAACGTAAAAAATAAAAATTTATAAAACTCCTAAATAGCAAAAGGCACCAGTTCAACATGAGTCTGATAGACATGCAAAGTTTCGTAGAGAAATATTTAACAGTTTCTGAGTTATGCTCCGGAAACGATTTCGGGACGCACACACGCACACACACACACACACGCACACGCACACACACGCACACGCACACACGCACACGCACACGCACACACACACACACACACACAGACGGAACCCATTTCTATATCCCCCGCCAACTTCGTTGGGGCGGGGGATAATTACATGTAGCAATAGGTTAAAATATTCTAGTGTTGTTTATGTTGATACTTGCATTTTCATCATGTTTGACTGGGGTGTGGGGTGAGAAATGAGGGGGGGGGGGATGTGGGGGTAAATATATGTTGATAGGATTAAACACACTCTGGTATGGGTTCAAATTCACTAGGGAGAATCATCCTGACACTAGAGAATTTCATTCCTGGGATAAAAAATAGGGTAGGATAATATTCACTCTTACACATGCTCAAAGTGCTAACATTATTACCCCGGTCAATGGATCAGTGTGCACTCTATTTTCACTCTACATTTACTCAGGATTACGTTTGGTGCTGTGATACACATTATGTTGAATGTTTTAATATCACTGCTCTTATTTATCATGACAAACATATTTCTTTTTCAAACAGAGAATACAAGCGCAGTACTAATTTGTGTTTGTTGGACTGGAATGAAAACAAAGATGATTGACATTTTACAGAAACTTTTTAAGACAGCACCGAAGACGAAATGGCAGGAAGGCTTTGAAACCAAAGATGTATGCATTTATTTAAAAGTGGTGAAATCATTTGATAGATATATACTACCACAAATGGTAAGGGTCACATTGCTTTCAACTTATATCCTGGTTACACCAGAACCAATGAGATTTGTGTGTATATTGTGATGACACTTTGACCTGTCACTCTTATAGCTCTGCCCCCTGAGACTGCTTCTGCCCACTTTAGTAGCCATCAATAATATAGCCATTCCTTACAAGCCATATCTTACCCGGCTCTCCAAAGTACCTCAGTTCCACTTTGTTGGTCTTCACCTCTCCAGCAGCATTCCTGGCCACACACTCATAGGCCCCCTTATCGGTGTCCTTCGTCTCTTGAATCATCAACGTACCATCAGAGAGGATTGTCAAACGATTATCAGGCTCCACCATTTCACTACAAGAACACAGCAATTCTGTACGGTGATACAGCTAAATATCTACTGCTACCCTCCTAGAAGCTGCAATTCCATTTCGTGGATTAAGAATGACGAAAAGAGTTGAAGTCAGCAAATCTGATAAGCAAAAAGTCTTATTGCTATATATGCTACAAGCATAGAGTGATGCTGTGCTCAACCTGTTGTCATACAAATAGAGACTCATAAAACAGCCAAATAATGAGTATCATGAAGATCCCAGTCAAAACACAAACTTAATGGACGACATAACTGCTACAGAATAATCACTTAGAAGGCCTTATTTCACAGTTTACAAATGAGTAATTTACCTCCATAACCTAATCCTAAATGTAAAATGAAAGTCTATGAAAGGAAATAAGCTTCTGAGGGACCATGTTTGAAATTCACACATCAGAATGTATGTCCAAATAAAACATGAAATCATTCTTTACTGAACTACAACTCACCTGTTGTGTAGCCATATTATTTCTGGGTTAGGTGTGCCCTCCGCTCTGCAGGTAAAGTATGCTGTGTTGCCAAATGTCACATCAACGTCTCTTGGCTCCATTGTAAATCTTGGCATTTCTAACAGAAAACATGGGTTGGGGTTAGATATGGGAGTGTCATTGCTGGGTGTCATTGCTGGGAGTCATCTCCTACCCCATAACACAACATGCACGTAGACTACACCCAGTAATGGGTTCATGTGTGTTGTTGTCAATATCAAGAAGACATCCTGAGCTTCAGTAACCTTGATCACAGGTTTGTCGGATGATGTTGTCCTCACATCCATGCAAGGCATCATGTCATGCAATACAGGTATGTTGTCAATAACACTGGTAACCTTCAACAACTGTCTTTACCGTGTCGTAAGTAACAAACCATCGAAAGGACAACACCTCCATTACAACTTAAGGCAGTGGTTTGTGCTGATAATATAACCCTTATTTAATATATTTGAACAAGTGTTGCTACTGTTACTGCTGTAAATCATTCCCATACAGATAGGTGTTAACCAGAAACCCTTTCAGATTTGTACTTGCCTGTGGAACAATGACCTAACCATTCACCCATATGGCTGCCTAATCTACTGGACCTATCTTTACATTGGACTTGTCTACAAACTGAATATGGCTGACTTACTACAGTACTTTTCAAGTTAATATACAGAAATCATTCCTGAGTCAGTATTCATCATTATCATGTGCAACCTCATAGAATGTTTGGACCAATCTGGTTGGATTTGGACCTTCGACGTACATCTACCAACAGAATTCTGTTAGAGCATCCATAAATATTTTTATCAAGTTATCCAGAAATCACTGTCAGCAATTCAAGAACTTCTGATCCATAATATTGCCTGCTCTGGCAATGTGGATATGTCTACAAATCCAGGAACATTAGTTGGAAGTTATACCCAGATCAATCTCACGCCAACCTAAGTTTGACCTTTGCCCCCTAATATTGACTAATATGGTGAAACAATATTGACTTCAACCAGTTGTTACAAACATGTTGACTTGCAAAACAAATATGACCTACCTCTGTCAATCCTCTGATAGCAAAATGAAAAGGAACTCATTTAGTGAAGACAACATCAAAGTTGCAGCTACCTTATTTCACACCATATATCTCACCTTAACTATATAACAACCCAGCATAAATAAACACTGTGACTTGATGTTACATACATTGCCTTTTCTTCAGTTAATCCTATTGACTTCTTCGTTATAGTGTTATCTGTGTACATTAATCCTACCTTGTGCAAACCTATCAGCATGTATGTTTATATTAACTCAATTCGCTCACTCAGCTATTGCCTGATGAAGGGGCAAGAAGTAACCCTGAAACATTAAATTTTGTTTTTGTTATCCATAAAAAGTTCCATGTCCTCATGTTCTTCCAACTTATTTATGCCAATCCAAGACCTGTCAATATTAGTATATGGTCATCTTAATAAGACAAGACTAGCCTATATCAAAGTCTAGTTGTCACCCTTGCCCTTTCATGAATACTTTTCTGTGCTAAAACAGAGACATAAAAATAGTCCAATCAGAGAACTTGTCACAAAACCACATCCAGTTTCTGAAAACATGGCCACTGCTATAGCCACAGCCACCAGGTGACAAATTTACTCTGAAATTATTGCAACAATTAATATCCCCATCACACCAAACTAGTTCTCAATAGGTTCGTGAAAATGTTGTCGGGCGGTCTCCAACAGTATATGAACGTAGCGGACGTAGCAGCAACTATTGACAGTCTTTTTACGAACTTCATGGATGGGCTCGGACGGGGAGGGTGCTCTGGAACTTTGAGTCTGCTCAAAATTTTATCCCGACCATCTCATTCTGCAATTAGTCGGATTGTCAACGTACTTAAAACTAGAAAGACGTATTAAGAAAGGAATTGCCGTACTTCGAACGGAATTCCAGTACTTCCAACCTACTAGGGACGTGTTACGATGTGGTGCAGTCGGACATAAATTTCAGTACGTGTGCACACCGACCGGGTCGACTTCTCTTTGTAGGCCTGAACTTGAATGAAGACTGGCTACAACGCCCTCGGTATCCATGAGTGTTGGGCAAGGACGGGCCAGGACGCGAATACACACGCACCTGGGATGATATGAGGACGTACTGCGAACGAGTTGGTCGGGTTAAGAATTAATTAGAACTGGCTTGGACGTATTGTGAATGAGGTAGAACGAGGTTGAACTGGTTAAGAACGGACTGAGAACGGCTATGGACGGCATTGAAACGTTGTTGGGATGAGGTGAACTGGCACTTTTACACGATCTGAACTGGATACAAAGGGACTGCAGACTGGCCAAGAACGAGATAAGAATGAGATAGAGGTATTGAGGACTGCTTATGAACGAACTAGCAACGTCTTTTACGCCAAACTACACGTTCTACCGTCATCACAGCCCATTCTAGTATTTTTTTTAGAACGGGGTAGAATGGGATAGAACTACTTTGATGTGATGGTAGCATTAGCAGAGACGAATAGTTTCAAACTTTTTCGAAGTTTTCAATCAACTCGCCCAAGTACCTAGTGTTACCATTTCATGTTACCAAGATGTGTAAAAATGGAAAAATGGAAAAATGGAAAAATGGAAAAATGGAAAAAATGAAATGTAGCAGTAATAAGTATCTTTACTTTGGTAATCTGTCATTTTTTTGTCTGTCAGGGATGCCATTTTTTCTCCTTTCTTTATCTGATAGACCCAGGTCGATTTTTGTGATGCCATTCGAAATAAGAACAGCAATCTGATTGGATATCACATTTTCATCACAAGGTGCACAACAGGTGCTCTACACAGGGTGGCGCCTCAATCAACTCAAGAAAAGTTGGCTTGAAAGGGCAAAGGTAAAAACTACACTTTCATATAGGCTTGTGGACACTCTAATCTTGAGAAGATGGTATATAGTATTATGATATAGTGAGTTTCAATCAAACTTGAGTACATACCTGATCTATGGTCTGAATCATTAGCCACTTGATATTCTGCAAAACAGGGAAAGGGTCATTAAGCTCTCAAACTTTGCACTAACTCAAATTATCATATGCCTGCCTATACCATATCTCTCTCAAATTATCATATGCCTGCCTACACCATATCTCTCCGAGCATAACTGAGGAAACAACATTTGTCCATGTTCTAGTGAAATACCAAAATAAATGTCAAAGTGTAATGACTCAGCCAAATTAGAACTTACTTATGTTATAGACATATAGGAAGAACATCAGAGTGAAAATGCTGTTCTTAGTTGTTGAGGAACTACACTAGGAAAAGACTTTAAAAAGTTATTAAGTGTATAATGCATTATAGCTTTCAAATATTTAAGTCTCCAGTTCCCCGATGGAGGGGCAGTGCTAACCATGCACATACTTGTGTCAGCCCACCAGAGTAATACAAAGGGAACACATCTTGTACATGTATACTGCTGGTTAGGCGTGCTCACCACAGTGGAAGTCATCCTGAGATATGCTCATGAGTGATCTCCCTTGCAGCTTGCTGGGAAATTGGCAGGTGGCAGCAGCCTGTGTGTAGCCATGTTTCTCCTTCAGCATGTCAGACAGCCACATCAACTGACAGTCACACACCAGTGCATTTGAGTCCAATCGTCTGAATAGAAAATCACAAACAAATGCACCTGTATTTCTTCCTTCCCATCTTGTTCTAAATCATGTCATAGTATATGAACCAATGGTGCCAACTGTCAGTGAGAACATTTTCTGAAAACACCCACCCAAGTTTTTCAAATGACATTTGCTGATGCATTGTGCCATGTGAACATTGCATGGTGTCAAGATAGGCTTCCAGCTCCCAGTTTCCTTCTTGGCCAGATGAATAATGCATATAGTTTAAGAATACTCTGCTTTCTCCAAGATCATGGCTAGGCCTATACTACTATTAACTAAAAAGGTGTTTGCATTACATGCAGAAGCAGCCCAACCCCCACCATTTCCTGATTGACCCCCAACTTCCCAACCCAGGTACAAACTTCCCAAGACAGAAAGTCCCATGCCTCTAGCCACATTGACAACAATGCCATATGGGCTTCAAAAACATCACTTCCGTTTTGGATAAACACATGGTCCCATGCCTCTAGCTACTTTACAAACAAACTTATGAGCACCTCTGGTTAAATAGCATCTCTTCCAGTTCGGGAATATACATGCCAAATGCAGTACCATCTTTGAAACAGAAAAGACTATGCTTGTAGCTACCTTAATAACAAAGTCATAAGCACCTCCTGCCTTAACCATGAACTGCTTAGAGATCATGTACAGAAAATTTTGTCAAATTTCAATCATCAATGCTCAAGATAGTGTATCTGCGCAAGAATGACCTTGACCTTCAACATTATCCACTTACATGTGAGAACATTACTTGTTGCAAACTATGGTTGTATTACGAATATGAAGTCTCGATCATACTAACAAAATTTGCTGAATGAAACTATTTATAAGTCATTTCATGAGTGAATGGCTTCCAAAGTGATAAATGCTGAAGAACATATTTGGTGCACTTTATAATCATTTATCTCTGAAAAGTGACATTATGATGAGGATACAGATAGTTACACCCAAGTTCAACATCTGACAGAAGACCTCTCCATCACCAGGCAGTCATGTGGAAACAAGGACAAACAAATATATACCAACGTGCAAACAAATCCAGAATTTTCAAATATATTTATATAAAATTTCAGAGTTAATGTTAACCTCCACAAAGATAAGATGATCCCATCATAAGAGATACCCCCTGCACTGTCAGATGCAGTGAAAATTTCAGTACCAATTTCACAGGTTTCCCTCCTCTGAACATCTTTTTACAGATGTTCTGTAGAACTTGAACACTGACTCATCTGTATAGATCACATGATCCAAACTCTTAGTGACTTCAACAGTACACCAGGCCAGGTGTTTCTCCACATGTGCATCAGGAATTTCTGTAAAACTGATTTCAAGCGGCTAATGTCAAGTAGATTTTTACATCCTGTCCATTCCGATGACCTCTTTTTTTCAGTTTCCAAACCAAGAGAACCACTTTGGATGAGCGAGGGCAAGCTCAGCAGCATGTCGTCTGTTGTTAGTGTCATAAACTGACCCACGTCCTGATCCAAACAGATGCGATGCAGCACTGCCTGAGCTGAACCTCATTAGATTAGTGTATACAGTAGAGAGAGTCATGCTATACAACTCATTTTTGTACCTATTTGTGTAGAGATAATACAGATGGTTTCTTTCATCAAACTCTGACATGTTCATGGATCTGAGAAGCTGTCGTCTGCTTGTGCATCATCACGTGACTAGCCCTAACAAGGGAGGTGATTCTGCAGATGACCATTTGAAGCCATACAAATTTTCATTAGCCTAAACAGTATTATACCAGAATATCATTCTCTTAAAAGAATACCATTTCCGAATTTTTTGCACAATGCTATATAAGCATCAAGAAGAACATTTCATCAACAAATCCCGGTAATATACTTACAACCGACGTAGATGTCTAGAGTGGGAGAATACACCTTTTGGTAGACTCTTTAGTTTATTGCTGTGTAAGAATCTGCAACAAAAGTACAGTACTGTTGATAACCTAACTTTTTTTTAAACATTTCCAGATATCTCCATCTGGCACAGCTTAAACAATGCTCACACATGCGACATGAACTAAACCCTAAATTTCAAGAACATATGTATCTATCACCATTACCATTGACATAATTTAGTTTGTGGAAGTCTGTACATTCAAGAAAGACTTCTAAACTGTATGTAATATCTGTAATATAGACGGACAATATTAGACAATACACTAGATCACATCATAAAAAACGTATTGTGTGTTACTTGTAACGGTAGGCAATATTTGAGATGACTATCCCCACAACATACACAATGTCATCACCTGTGTAACAATATAGCCAAACAAATCAAGTATAGCAGGGTTAGAACTAAACTAAAAAGCTTCACAAGCCGGGGTAAAGATAGAGTTTCCTTGTAAGACAAAAACAATGAGGAGATTGGGAAATGTTTTACTAACCTGCAAGAATTTGTAGTAACCCTGGCTAGCGTGCTAAATGTTAAGTTCTAACCCTGTACAGAATGAATATAACAAAGTGGAACAAATCTGCAATGTAGATATGTGCTTGAACACATTTACAGCTACAAGATTACAAGATTATCATTACATTTAACAATGAAAGAAAGGTAATGTAAATATACCAAGCATACTTACAGCTGTTCCAGTTTAGGGAGATCTCTAAATACTCTAGTATGAATGGTCTCTATCTTGTTTTTATATAGATATCTGAAAGGTGAAAATTAAGTAGGGTACACAAAAGATTCAACGTATTTGCACTTCAATAATTAAATTTCCACTACAGTTGGCCAGTGGACCTCCATGGACTTAAGATGTTAGCTTCCATGGCTTTTCTGCACATAGGAAATAGGACTCTCAACACTCTGGGGGGAGGCCTTGCCCATACAGACGGGAATAACACCATCTTGCAATACCCAATAACAATAACTGGTCACAAGTTTATACATTGGCATCAATATCTGGTTATTTCTTGGATGAGCAATATACATTATCTGGACCCTAGAGGCTACTCACAAATATCTCAGCTCACCCAGTCCCTGGAAGGCCCCATCATCCAGGCTTTCCAGCTCATTGTTGTTCAACAACCTGAAAAAGCATCATGACACAGACAGGGTTACACTCAATAGCCCTTGAAACAGTCTTTGTTGTGGACTAATCCGACCAGAATTAAGATTCACAAATATACATAACCATGTTCTACTTGTTTTAATATATTATGGAACTCAATAAATGTTGGCCATAAACATGATAAAAATGACCTATTCCTGCAAGGTGCAATAAGAAAGTAGCTAGAGACCTACATACAGGAAAGTAGGCACAACTAGGGGCCACATACAGCAAAGTAGGCACAACTAGGGGCCCACATACAGCAAAGTAGGCACAACTAGGGGCCCACATACAGGAAAGTAGGCACAAGTAGAGGCCACATACAGCAAAGTAGGCACAACTAGGGGCCACATACAGGAAAGTAGGCACAACTAGGGGCCACATACAGGAAAGTAGGCACAACTAGGGGCCCACATACAGCAAAGTAGGCACAACTAGGGGCCACATACAGGAAAGTAGGCACAACTAGGGGCCACATACAGCAAAGTAGGCACAAGTAGGGGCCCACATACAGCAAAGTAGGCACAACTGGGGGCCACATACAGCAAAGTAGGCACAAGTAGGGGCCCACATACAGCAAAGTAGGCACAACTAGGGGCCCACATACAGCAAAGTAGGCACAACTAGGGGCCATATACAGGAAAGTAGGCACAACTAGGGGCCACATACAGGAAAGTAGGCACAAATAGGGGCCACATACAGCAAAGTAGGCACAACTAGGGGCCCACATACAGCAAAGTAGGCACAACTAGGGGCCACATACAGGAAAGTAGGCACAACTAGGGGCCACATACAGCAAAGTAGGCACAAGTAGGGGCCCACATACAGCAAAGTAGGCACAACTAGGGGCCACATACAGCAAAGTAGGCACAAGTAGGGGCCCACATACAGCAAAGTAGGCACAACTAGGGGCCCACATACAGGAAAGTAGGCACAACTAGGGGCCATATACAGGAAAGAAGGCACAACTAGGGGCCATATACAGGAAAGTAGGCACAACTAGGGGCCACATACAGCAAAGTAGGCACAACTAAGGGCCACATTCAGGAAAGTAGGCACAACTAGGGGCCACATACAGGAAAGTAGGCAGAACTAAGGGCCCACATACAGCAAAGTAGGCACAACTAGGGGCCATATACAGGAAAGTAGGCACAACTAGGGCCCACATACAGCAAAGTAAGCACAACTAGAGGCCCACATGCAGCAAAGTAGGCACAACTAGAGGCCACATACAGCAATGTAGGCACAACTAGGGGCCACATACAGCAAAGTAGGCACAACTAGGGGCCATATACAGGAAAGTAGGCAGAACTAAGGGCCCACATACAGGAAAGTAGGCACAACTAGGGGCCATATACAGCAAAGTAGGCACAACTAGGGGCCATATACAGGAAAGTAGGCACAACTAGGGGCCACATACAGCAAAGTAGGCAGAACTAAGGGCCCACATACAGCAAAGTAGGCAAAACTAGGGGCCATATACAGGGAAGTAGGCACAACTAGGGGCCACATACAGGAAAGTAGGCACAACTAGGGGCCACATACAGCAAAGTAGGCACAACTAGGGGCCACATACAGGAAAGTAGGCACAAGTAGGGGCCACATACAGGAAAGTAGGCACAACTAGAGGCCATATACAGGAAAGTAGGCACAACAAGGGGCCACATACAGCAAAGTAGGCACAACTAGGGGCCACATACAGCAAAGTAGGCAGAACTAAGGGGCCACATACAGCAAAGTAGGCACAACTAGGGGCCATATACAGGAAAGTAGGCACAACTAGGGGCCATATACAGGAAAGTAGGCAGAACTAAGGGCCCACATACAGCAAAGTAGGCACAACTAGGGGCCATATACAGCAAAGTAGGCACAACTAGGGGCCATATACAGGAAAGTAGGCACAACTAGGGGCCACATACAGGAAAGTAGGCACAACTAGGGGCCATATACAGGAAAGTAGGCACAAATAGGGGCCACATACAGCAAAGTAGGCACAACTAGGGGCCCATATACAGGAAAGTAGGCACAACTAGGGGCCACATACAGCAAAGTAGGCACAACTTGGGGCCCACATACAGCAAAGTAGGCACAACTAGGGGCCACATACAGCAAAGTAGGCACAACTAGGGGCCCATATACAGGAAAGTAGGCACAACTAGGGGCCACATACAGCAAAGTAGGCACAACTAGGGGCCCATATACAGGAAAGTAGGCACAACTAGGGGCCACATACAGCAAAGTAGGCACAACTAAGGGCCCACATACAGCAAAGTAGGCACAGATAGAGACCAACATAAAACAAAGTAATTCTACAAAATATCAAAGCTCATAAAAGCACGAGAGAAAACTGCCAAGGTTATCATGTAGAACAAAGAAAGAGGGGACTTGGAATGGTGCTGATGGCTACGCAGGTCTCACAATAACACTCAGGTGACGCCGACTGACCATTGCCAGACTACTTCTGGGATACCACTGGGCACAGAAGGGACAGAGTGGCAGACTGTGTGACCTCTTCCTCACGTGACAGGGAAGCTTCATCAGCAGAGACACAGAGTCAAAATGATTATATGCTGCAGGATATTGGGCCTAAAGACCCAACCACAGAATAGCTGTGATCTGTAATAGACATTTGGTCTCAAAGTGTGTGATGCTGGCAGTAACATGGTTGGTGAAGGGTACAGTTCAGAAACAAGAGATGGTTCAACTTGTTTCCTCCTGATGGTCATATGCGTGTATATTGACGGAGGGGTTCTAGGATGCATCCAAAGGTTCACACATTTGCAGGCAGTGGCATCAATGGCATCCAAGCAAATTTGAAAACCCAAGGTTGCAGGGATGTCATTCTGCAACCACTTGTCCTTCCCTTTCTCAGAGACAGACATGTGGTATGGTGTTCCAACGGGACAATGCCAGGCCCCACTGCTCGAATAATCTTTCTCAACGTCATAACATACCCATGTTGCCCTGGGATCATCTTGGGCAACAGATAAGACCACATCCATACCTGCTAAACAACTTACAGCAGCTGGAATGTTCATTATTGGAGAAGTGGGACCCAATACCCAATGGCGACATCAAGATGCTTACTTCCTTGATGAGGCATCGTGTCCAGGCCTGTCTAGATGCCTGAGGAGGTCACACAAGATACTGATGACATTACCAAGGTGCTACGGTAGTATTCAGAAGCTTTGCAATCAGGCTTTCATCAACAGTAATTTTTTTTAAAGTTACAGTTATGTCAACAGTAGATGTGTTGAATGATTTTTGATAATTCATTCCAAGTACCATAAATGAAACACGTTTCCTTGTTTTCTTTCAATAAGCAGTCCCAGTCGATGTAGGCTTTCTTTTGATCAACAGTTAAGTAAGGCCTTCACTGTACCCTTGACCTTTCAAGGATCACCCACCAATCAGGGCAATTTATCCTTTTCTCTTCAATACTTTCAGATAAATTGGATGTATAAGATATGCAGAATGTTTTACCTCAAATTTGACATAGCCAAAGAAACTTTGAAAAGCTAAAGGTGTTAAGAAAAGCTATTATACAACATGTCCAGTCCAGCAGTACAAGTATATACCTTTATGGTACTCAGCTATCTTTCAGTATGCATTCAAAAATTATTTTCAAAAGCCATTAATTTGAAGTGGCTGTTCAAGATTGTTCAACCATATTAAAACAAGAGTCATCAGAAGATGACAATCCCGCTGGCCACCACATATTCAAAAGCACAAATCATCTGACTGTCACATTAAGTCCAACTTGATGAGAGTATTTCTCTCTAATCTGTCTGTCCATTAACAAGAGTAGTTATTGTGCTATCAAAACAATACCATGGAATTGGGATTTGGAACTTTGTATTTCTATGTCAGGTACACACCAATATGAACAGTCAAAATCAAAGTTGTTGGCATGGAATCTTTTTTTTTCTGAACACCCCTAAGTAGCAAAAGGCAAACTGGTCACTGTGTGTGCAAAGTTTCATGAAAGAACACCTATCAGTTTTAGAGATATGGTCTGGACAAACACACCACTATGCACAGAGTCCAAGTCAAACTTGTTGCCATAGAAACAGGAATCATATTTTCCTTAAATTCCTAAATAACAAAAAAACACCACTTCAGCCCTTGGTTAATACATGTACAAGGTTAGGATGAAAAGTCTTTCACAGTTTTCAAGTTGTGCTCCGGACCTTTTGAGACTAAGTCCAAATTGTTTCCATGAAAATCAAGAAAAAGAAAAATGCCAAAAATCCACAAATAACAAAAGGCACCACATCAGGATCTGTTTGATATATCTGCCAAGGTTGTTGAAAAATATAGAACGGTGTTCGAGTTACGCTCCAGAAACCAAAAACAAGTCACGCAAAATTATCCGTGAAACTATCAATCATGTCCTTGTCCAACTTCTTTCCATAAAGATTTTTAAAATAAAACTTTTATTAAAAGTCACACACTTGTTTTAGTTGTTGCCAGAGACCATATAATAGAGGGACGGCCCTCTAGCCTATGCGCGAAACCATCAGTGCTACGGCTTGTACTGCGCAGCCTGTCCGGAAGCGAGCAGAAACGCGTTAACTGCAGTCATCGCTGTCGCCTTTTTTTCCCATGCAAAAGATATATTTTACAAAACAAAATTACACTCATGTATTTCTTAACATTGTTAACATTACAACTGAGATTTGTTGGTGCCCTAAAGCATGTCGTTGTCACTGTATTTGATGACTGTGATCACGCTTTGTCCTTGTCCGAGAGAACAAAATGGCGCACATGTAAAATTGGCAAAAGTGCAGATTTTGATTTTCAATAACGGCCTCTAATTCGCAATGAAAGTCCTTGGTTACCAAGGTGTATAAAAAGGGTATATGTTAAAAATTGGCTTAGTGCCATTTACAAATTTAGGGCGGATGCGATATTTCAGATTTTGACTCGAGAAATGGGACTAAATCTGACTTTTCCCGAAATAATTACACCACAACTCTTAATTTCCGCATGCTTTCAGACGAATGTGTTCCTATCATCGGTCCTGAATTAAATAGTTTTACATTCATCACGATTTCCCCTTTGGCTTGGTACCAAAGTTATTTAGGTACGATCGGTATTTTTTTTTGTATGATTTTTGGCGCAAGGCCATATTTTACGTCACATATTTTAAATTAAATTACCATATAGCAGACGAAATAACATGCATTTTGTCTGTGATTATCATCCGCATATATCTTTTGAAACATTATACAAAGTGACTTATATTGTATGATATTAGAATTGTTTTTGTAAGACGCGTATTTTTTTTACCTTTGCTTTCGCCATTTTTTCGTAAGTTTAACTTTGTTTCAGTTAGGTTTCTATCACATATCGCGCATATACTACATACTACAATACTACATATTTGTTATCTTCTGAAGATTTTGTCTGTATTAATCATGACTACATTTAATCAATTATTTATTTTATGCCGTGTAAATATTGATTATGAGCAAAATGATCTTGGCCTAAACCCAATCATAATAATGTAAATATGATGAAGGTACTACTTACTTTGTGTATTTACACAACAATGAAAACATCATACAAAAATAAAAATCTGTTACATGAAATATTTGTATTATAAAATTATCATTTGCTTTGTAAATGCCAAGAAAAAAGAAGGATTATATCGGCAGTCGTCGGGAGAGAAGTTCCAGACAACAAGGTCGAAGGTGTCAAACTTATCTCGCTCCGACAAACCCTATTATCACTGCTAGCCCCAAACTGGCATTAACCAATAACATTTGATTCTTTCGAAGCCCATTGTCAGACACATCGAAAATTCATTTAACAACGCTCGTAGTTTAATGTGTATTTTTAATTCATTGGAACTATTACCATTATAAAATAGTAGCGAATTTACATGAAATAAAAACATTAATATGGCGTCATTTTTTTTCTGGCTAATAGTAAAGCATTTACACCAGTCGGTGATCATGCATTTTTGCAAGTAAATCTAGTCTGGACTTAATATAAGATATGAAGTTAATCTGGAGATATATTTTGTGAACATCGGGAATAGGGTGATATGTTACAAGTGTCTTCCCTGCTTCTGAATGAGTTTTATTTACACTTCCTGAGTTCCTGTGCAATTTACCGGATCGTAGTTTTCTGTGGCGTTCGTAGTAGATTTGGTATATTTGTTTATTTATAATAGTTAACAATTGCAGCATAAAATGAGATATGTAAATTGAAATAAATGTCCCGGAAGACACACATGTTCAGCAAATAATTTGCAGCCAACTGACATGTGCTAATGAGAGATATCATACAAAAATCTTTGTAATCCGCTAAGAGACGTCCTTTTATTGGATTGTCGCTGGTCGTAGTCGGAGAAATCTCGGCTAAGGGAATTAACTCTTACCCCGGATATTATGTAATATTGTTTACGTGGTTACCAGAATGGTCAGTCGTGAATGTCTGCGCATCTATTGCGCATCTGCAGCGGTACAGGGAGGTTAACAGCAGGGTGTCGGGGTGTATCAGTTACATGCCAGACCGTAGCGCTGATGGTTAGTGATAAACTGTTGGTGAGGGCCGTCCCTCTATTATATGGTCTCTGTTGTTGCCAAGTGACCTCTGGCCTAGTTAATATTAACTGAATTGAACCTGACCTTTCTGGAAGGATTATCAAAAGAACAATCTGAACATATCCCATCACTACTTGTTGCTGTACTTGTCCAGAATCCAGTTCCAACGTAATTCTAGACCTCATTCATATCTACCGATTTGGCTGGTCACTCAAATCCACCTTTCTTCTACAAAGACTTTGTCTGGTCACATTTGATCATGTTGCCATCCAGGACCAAGGGACAGATGACAGATAGCATTACAGTGTATAAATGAACTAATAAACAATTAAGGAAGATATACTCACAATGTTTTTAAACTTGATAAATTGCCGAAAGATCCCCTCGGTATACTCTTTATTTTGTTGAACCTTAAATCTCTGAAAAACAAAACAGCACATATTTAATGACATGTCATCAAATTTAAAAAAACAAAACACCTTCAAACACTGGTAGAGTATGGTGGCCGAGAGGGACATCGCTTTCTCGCTTTCTCTCTCTATCGCTTTCTCGCTTTATTGCTTTATCGCGGTTAAGCAATATCCGCTCTTGACCTCTCTATAGGGGCTGCATGTGATATCTGCTGCAATTGGTAGGGAATGTTGAACTTCTCTCACTATTTACTTAAAACATAATTTAACTGTACAGACATAGGTGATTTTAAAATAATCCAAAGATTTTTGCGTATAATATAATTGATTGATTTATGGCCCTATTCAGTTGTATGAATGTGGCAGATCATGGCAATACGCTCTAAGTAAATCAGGTTAAAATCTAAATATATACTTTTCAAAAGAAGTTAAGAAGACTATGGTTAATTAGTCATGGCTGATTGTTTTGCAAAAATACAATCTTATAATTGTGGGTGTTCTATAACATGTTTTCGGTAGTATATGATGTTACAGTGTGTCATACTGTTGTCCGTAAATATTCTTTTTGACATTTGATGTATGTTTAACTTGAATTGTGTTTCTTGTCCTGGAAATCTACAAATATATGAACTTGCATATAGTAATTTGATAAACACGGCTGTGAGTGAGAATGGTTTCACGTCGCTTTTAACACTAATCCAGTAATATCATGGGGAACACCAGAAATGGGCTTCACACATTGTACCCATGTGGGAAATCGAACTGGGTCTTCGGCTTGATGAGCGAAAGCTTTAACCACAAGGCTACCCTACTGCCCCCATCACTGTGACATTACCACAGTTGATATGTGTACTTATGTAAACTACACATATGGAAAAACATAATAATTAGTGTGGCCACATAGTTAAAGTTGATAACAATATGAAATGCGTTACTATGATTATCTATAACATATATTAAATCAGCTATCATTGTAATATTTTATGTATATCTTAAGTATAGTTTTGTCAAAATTATGTATGTATGTGTGTGTGTTTGTGTGTGTGTCCGACTCATTGTCTGTGTAAAAATGTAGTAGATAACTAAGTAACTCACATCAGAACGCACAGTTGTTAACCATGCAGTTTAAATGGATAGAGAATTGTTACATAAATATATATATTCCTACCTGAGTCTATACTATAATCGGATATCTAGTTTCTCCTGGCGGGAAAGTTAAACTTTATTTTACAAGCACTTTAGCATTAAATTTAATTCCCAAAGACAGTTTGATCAAAAGTAATCATAAGAAACGAGTTGTTTTTTAAACATATTTACAACGCATTTCATTTCTATTGTCCAAGGAATGGGGTTACGGCTTAATGATGCTCCCGAAAGTCGTACATGCGACTTTAGGTAGAGACATATATCTAATCCATCTGTATTTTGTAAGGGGAACAAAACTGTGTACATGTACAACTTTTGTTTGCATAATGTACATGCAACTCAATAAACATAATTGTGATCCCGAAATCGGACAAGGACATATTCGGCTTCAATTACATTTCTAATGACTGAAAAAAATAATTATTTGGACGTTGCAAACAGTACAAACAGTAGATTGATGGAGGAATATGGGGGCGGGGGTATTATGAACAAAATGAAAATATGAACACTGACTATCTGTATTCTGTTAATCTTGCATATTTACTACACTACAAGAAAATATACAAGCTAAACGAGAAAAAATTATGTGTGCATTTATAACATATTTATCTACAACAAGATGTTTAAAAAATCTAATCATAAGAGGCAAAATAGCGGTGAGAATTCTATTTCCAAATTACGGTTACTGAGAACAATATGCCATCCAAAAACTAGAAATTACATATGGACATCCGGTAGTATTACCATTGTTTGGGGGAGGACTGCCCCTATGATTACATCTACTCCGCAAACAGAATAGACATTGATATAAGCGTGTTTTTTAGGAAAAAAATAGTTTTTTTAGGAAGTACGTACTACTCAGCGCTAATGAGCGGTGCTATTTGCTACTTGTTTTGATAACTTGGCCTGGGGGTGGGGGATCCAATAAAACTCCTAAATAGGGCCATAAATCAATCAAATTCTTTTTTATGCAGAAATACGTGGATTGTTATAAAAGCACCCATGTCTGTACTGTTAAATTATGTTTAAGTAGATAGTGAGAAAATTTCAACATTCTTACCATATGTATAATTTGTAATGTGACTGGAAAAATCTCAGCTCTCTTTTATGATTAAAACCCCTCCCTCGAATGAGGTCAAATTTAACAATTCTGATTTCATTAATGTTGTTTTACGTATATACTTTTTATCGTAAAGAAACCCATATAGTGGCCAAGAGGGAATATTGCTATACCGCAAGAAAGCGATAGAGCGAGAAAGCGACAGAGCGAGAAAGAGCGATGTCCCCTCTCGGCCACCATAGTAGAGGGATAATTTGGTCATCTTTCTCTCCCTACAGATGCTTCAGAAGGTGTAGCCATCCTACTTTCCATATAGATGCTTCAGAAACTGTAGCCATCTTGCTTTCCCTACAGATGCTTCAGAAACTGTAGCCATCTTGCTTTCCCTACAGATGCTTCAGAAACTGTAGCCATCTTGCTTTCCCTACAGATGCTTCAGAAACTGTAGCCATCCTACTTTCCATACCGATGCTTCAGAAGCTGTAGCCATCCTACTTTCCATACAGATGCTTCAGAAGCAGTAGCCATCCATCCTATTTTCCATACCGATGCTTCAGAAACTGTAGCCATCCTACTTTCCCTACAGATGCTTCAGAAGCTGTAGCCATCCTACTTTCCATACAGATGCTTCAGAAACTGTAGCCATCTTGCTTTCCCTACAGATGCTTCAGAAACTGTACAGTGTAGCCATCCTACTTTCCATACAGATGCTTTAGAAGCTGTAGCCATCTTGCTTTCCCTACAGATGCTTCAGAAGCTGTACAGTGTAGCCATCCTACTTTCCCAACACATGCTTCAGAAGCTGTAGCCATCCTACTTTCCATACAGATGCTTCAGAAACTGTAGCCATCCCACTTTCCATACAGATGCTTCAGAAACTGTAGCCATTCTACTTTCCCTACAGATGCTTCAGAAGCTGTAGCCATCCTACTTTCCCTACAGATGCTTCAGAAACTGTAGCCATCCTACTTTCCATACAGATGCTTCAGAAACTGTAGCCATCTTGCTTTCCATACAGATGCTTCAGAAACTGTAGCCATCCTACTCTCCCTACAGATGCTTCAGAAACTGTAGCCATCCTACTTTCCACACATATGCTTCAGAAGCTGTAGCCATCCTACTTTCCATACAGATGCTTCAGAAGCTGTAGCCATCCTAATTTCCCTACAGATGCTTCAGAAACTGTAGCCATCCTACTTTCCATACAGATGCTTCAGAAGCTGTAGCCATCCTACTTTCCATACAGATGCTTCAGAAGCTGTAGCCATCCTACTTTCCCTACAGATGCTTCAGAAACTGTAGCCATCCTACTTTCCATACAGATGCTTAAGAAACTGTAGCCATCCTACTTTCCATACAGGTGCTTCAGAAAGTAAATACATGTATCTGTAATTTGCAACTATTTTAAGAGTATGACTAACACAATGTAAATTTTTTATTTCAAACTATGATGATTGGCATGTACACTGCAGATGAGTAAGTGACTGGCTGATAGATGCATGGTAGAATTGCATGATAGTTTTCTAAGAATTCATGTGAAATAAAGGCTGTTACATAAAGTGAGTTATTTCATTGATGCCATGTTACCCCTGACTGACAGAATGCCTAATTGTTTTCTGATGTAGAAGATGCAGTGGCAGTATAGATTGTTCCCATTACCTTCCATCATATCAGTTCCTGTTTTAGTTGAAAACTGAACAAATGTTGCTATTATAAACTAACAATCACTTCAAAACACATGCTTGTTTAGCATTTTAATGCAGGTGCAACAAGTATCAGTTGTCTCTGTCTCTACATGTGTACATTGAGCCACAGGTTGGACCATCACTTACATCATTTCAAAAGGATAATTATCGCCTTTTGGGACAACAGAATTGACCATTGACAGTAAATCTTGATGTGAGCTTCATCCCTGTATGTAAAGGAAAGGATTGTACTTATTTGCAGGTTTACCCCACTGAGGAATGCATAACATAGCTTTTTGTGTTCTTTGAACAACCCTACACACTACTTGGGGGAAACGATACATTGTGAGCGCAAATGTGCACGCGCTACTACGCCATACCTCACGTGACCCGGCATCGGGAGTGACGTCATGACTATGTACCTGTGGTCAGTTACGAATAAATCATCGTTCAGTTCAGACGTCTTGTTGCTTGATGTTCCTCCCAGTCTAGGTGCGGGTCGTACAAGTACCTGAACATGATGTACAGTCTTACAAATACATTAAATACACCACAATACGTATCGTATTGTGCCCTATGTGTAGTGATATTAATCGTTTCATGACCTTCCTGTATCATTTTACCCCTACACGCTACAAGTGTACATACTACTTTACCAAACATTTCTGAGTAAATGTTAGAAAAAAAATTACATATCAACTTCAATCAAAGAAAACAGTTACTGTAGTTGACAGTCTTATCAAAGAGGAAATATATATACCTTGTACACACCTCACAACATTAAATGTCTACACCCACGCAGATTCCTAAGCCTTTTCATTCATAGTTGTCCCTCCAACTACACGGATAGAGTGAGCAAGCCACATGTGGTACCAATATGCTCCAACCATCCATAGCTTCCAACTACCTTGTACAAACAGGCTGAGAGCTCTTGCTCTCAGAGTACTAGCATGCCACAAATGACAACTAAAATTACTCATGGAAATAAACATCATTTATCTGTTACAAGTTCTTATCTTGTGGCAGTTTATCGTAACAGTAATAGCAGCACAAGTGAAACTGTAACCAACAGTAAAACTAATTTGATCTGAGAAAACCCACAAGGAAACTAGAAATAGCTTGTACATGCCAAATCCATGCTGATGCTGTGCATGCTATTGTGCATTGGGCTGTACAGGCATGCATGCTAGTTATGCTTATCTGTGTAAGCAAGTACAACAGCACTACAGTGATTGTGTGATCTAGTTGGCAATACATGGAGGCTTACATATACCTTGTGTGATCTAGTTGGCAATACATGGAGGCTGACATATACCTTGTGTGATCTAGCTGACAATACATGGAGGCTTACATATACCTTGTGTGATCTAGTTGGCAATACAGAGAGGCTTACACATACCTTGTGTGATCTAGCTGACAATACATGGAGGCTTCCATATACCTTGTGTGATCTAGCTGACAATACAGGGAGGCTTACATATACCTTGTGTGATCTAGTTGGCAATACATGGAGGCTTACATATACCTTGTGTGATCTAGTTGGCAATACAGAGAGGCTTCCATATACCTTGTATGATCTAGCTGACAATACAGAGAGGCTTACATATACCTTGTGTGATCTAGTTAGCAATACATGGAGGCTTACATATACCTTGTGTGATCTAGTTGGCAATACAGAGAGGCTTACATATACCTTGTGTGATCTAGCTGACAATACAGAGAGGCTTACATATACCTTGTGTGATCTAGTTGGCAATACAGTGAGGCTTACATATACCTTGTGTGATCTAGTTGACAATACATGGAGGCTTCCATATACCTTGTGTGATCTAGCTGACAATACAGGGAGGCTTACATATACCTTGTGTGATCTAGTTGACAATACAGAGAGGCTTACATATACCTTGTGTGATCTAGCTGACAATACAGAGAGGCTTACATATACCTTGTGTGATCTAGTTGACAATACAGAGAGGCTTACATATACCTTGTGTGATCTAGTTGACAATACAGAGAGGCTTACATATACCTTGTGTGATCTAGTTGACAATACAGAGAGGCTTACATATACCTTGTGTGATCTAGTTGACAATACAGAGAGGCTTACATATACCTTGTGTGATCTAGTTGACAATACAGAGAGGCTTACATATACCTTGTGTGATCTAGCTGACAATACAGGGAGGCTTCCATATACCTTGTGTGATCTAGTTGGCAATACAGGGAGGCTTCCATATACCTTGTGTGATCTAGTTGACAATACAGAGAGGCTTACATATACCTTGTGTGATCTAGTTGGCAATACAGAGAGGCTTACATATACCTTGTGTGATCTAGTTGGCAATACAGAGAGGCTTACATATACCTTGTGTGATCTAGCTGACAATACAGGGAGGCTTCCATATACCTTGTGTGATCTAGCTGACAATACAGGGAGGCTTCCATATACCTTGTGTGATCTAGTTGGCAATACAGAGAGGCTTACATATACCTTGTGTGATCTAGTTGACAATACATGGATGCTTCCATATACCTTGTGTGATCTAGCTGACAATACAGAGAGGCTTACATATACCTTGTGTGATCTAGTTGACAATACATGGAGGCTTACATATACCTTGTGTGATCTAGCTGACAATACAGGGAGGCTTCCATATACCTTGTGTGATCTAGTTGGCAATACAGAGAGGCTTACACATACCTTGTGTGATCTAGTTGGCAATACATGGAGGCTTCCATATACCTTGTGTGATCTAGTTGACAATACAGGGAGGCTTCCATATACCTTGTGTGATCTAGCTGACAATACAGGGAGGCTTACACATACATTGTGTGATCTAGCTGACAATACATGGAGGCTTACATATACCTTGTGTGATCTAGTTGACAATACAGGGAGGCTTACACATACATTGTGTGATCTAGTTGACAATACAGGGAGGCTTCCATATACCTTGTGTGATCTAGCTGACAATACAGGGAGGCTTACACATACATTGTGTGATCTAGCTGACAATACATGGAGGCTTACATATACCTTGTGTGATCTAGTTGGCAATACAGGGAGGCTTACATATACCTTGTGTGATCTAGTTGGCAATACAGAGAGGCTTACATATACCTTGTGTGATCTAGTTGACAATACATGGAGGCTTCCATATACCTTGTGTGATCTAGCTGACAATACAGAGAGGCTTACATATACCTTGTGTGATCTAGCTGACAATACAGTGAGGCTTACATATACCTTGTGTGATCTAGTTGACAATACAGAGAGGCTTACATATACCTTGTGTGATCTAGTTGGCAATACAGAGAGGCTTACATATACCTTGTGTGATCTAGTTGACAATACATGGAGGCTTCCATATACCTTGTGTGATCTAGCTGACAATACAGAGAGGCTTACATATACCTTGTGTGATCTAGTTGGCAATACAGTGAGGCTTACATATACCTTGTGTGATCTAGTTGACAATACATGGAGGCTTCCATATACCTTGTGTGATCTAGCTGACAATACAGGGAGGCTTACATATACCTTGTGTGATCTAGTTGGCAATACAGAGAGGCTTACATATACCTTGTGTGATCTAGCTGACAATACAGGGAGGCTTACATATACCTTGTGTGATCTAGTTGACAATACAGTGAGGCTTACATATACCTTGTGTGATCTAGTTGACAATACAGTGAGGCTTACATATACCTTGTGTGATCTAGTTGACAATACAGTGAGGCTTACATATACCTTGTGTGATCTAGTTGACAATACAGTGAGGCTTACATATACCTTGTGTGATCTAGTTGACAATACAGTGAGGCTTACATATACCTTGTGTGATCTAGTTGGCAATACAGAGAGGCTTACATATACCTTGTGTGATCTAGTTGACAATACATGGAGGCTTCCATATACCTTGTGTGATCTAGCTGACAATACAGAGAGGCTTACATATACCTTGTGTGATCTAGTTGGCAATACAGTGAGGCTTACATATACCTTGTGTGATCTAGTTGACAATACATGGAGGCTTCCATATACCTTGTGTGATCTAGCTGACAATACAGGGAGGCTTACATATACCTTGTGTGATCTAGTTGGCAATACAGAGAGGCTTACATATACCTTGTGTGATCTAGCTGACAATACAGGGAGGCTTCCATATACCTTGTGTGATCTAGCTGACAATACAGGGAGGCTTCCATATACCTTGTGTGATCTAGTTGGCAATACAGAGAGGCTTACATATACCTTGTGTGATCTAGTTGACAATACATGGAGGCTTCCATATACCTTGTGTGATCTAGCTGACAATACAGAGAGGCTTACATATACCTTGTGTGATCTAGTTGACAATACATGGAGGCTTACATATACCTTGTGTGATCTAGCTGACAATACAGGGAGGCTTCCATATACCTTGTGTGATCTAGTTGGCAATACAGAGAGGCTTACACATACCTTGTGTGATCTAGTTGGCAATACATGGAGGCTTCCATATACCTTGTGTGATCTAGTTGACAATACAGGGAGGCTTCCATATACCTTGTGTGATCTAGCTGACAATACAGGGAGGCTTACACATACATTGTGTGATCTAGCTGACAATACATGGAGGCTTACATATACCTTGTGTGATCTAGTTGACAATACAGGGAGGCTTACACATACATTGTGTGATCTAGTTGACAATACAGGGAGGCTTCCATATACCTTGTGTGATCTAGCTGACAATACAGGGAGGCTTACACATACATTGTGTGATCTAGCTGACAATACATGGAGGCTTCCATATACCTTGTGTGATCTAGCTGACAATACAGGGAGGCTTACATATACCTTGTGTGATCTAGCTGACAATACATGGAGGCTTACATATACCTTGTGTGATCTAGTTGGCAATACAGAGAGGCTTACATATACCTTGTGTGATCTAGTTGGCAATACAGAGAGGCTTACATATACCTTGTGTGATCTAGTTGACAATACATGGAGGCTTCCATATACCTTGTGTGATCTAGCTGACAATACAGAGAGGCTTACATATACCTTGTGTGATCTAGTTGACAATACATGGAGGCTTACATATACCTTGTGTGATCTAGCTGACAATACAGGGAGGCTTCCATATACCTTGTGTGATCTAGTTGGCAATACAGAGAGGCTTACACATACCTTGTGTGATCTAGCTGACAATACATGGAGGCTTCCATATACCTTGTGTGATCTAGCTGACAATACATGGAGGCTTACATATACCTTGTGTGATCTAGCTGACAATACATGGAGGCTTCCATATACCTTGTGTGATCTAGCTGACAATACAGAGAGGCTTACACATACCTTGTGTGATCTAGCTGACAATACATGGAGGCTTCCATATACCTTGTGTGATCTAGCTGACAATACATGGAGGCTTCCATATACCTTGTGTGATCTAGCTGACAATACATGGAGGCTTACACATACCTTGTGTGATCTAGCTGACAATACAGAGAGGCTTACAT